CATTGACCTAGTGTGATAATCCGAAGAGGTTCTCCGTCTACCTTAAAACCTGGCCAACTTGGTGATCAACTTTTGCGTCAAGAGCGAAATGTTGCCCAGTTAAAAACTACCGATGGTTTACCAGGCCCTTCTGGAAAAAGGGTGTAACGCGCCCCACAGATCACCAACCGTTTAAAAGACAAACAAACAGTACAACAACTGATGCTCCATTACTCTGCTTGCACTCCTCATGAGTCTTACTAGGCGCCTCGCTGAGGATGCGGTGACGTGAGTCGACAACCGAGGCCTAACTAGCGCTGTGTTGACAGGTGATTGAACCTAGGGTTTTCTAAAGTAGTATCGCAAACAAAGGGCGGCTCTGGGGACATGCATTTGGTGCACAAAGGTACAATGGCCAAGAAACGGTCCGGTGACCATTTTGGTGTCGTGTAGAGTACCAACAACCGCTAAAAACTACCGTAAATGCACGCTTCACAAACCACCACTAAGGATCAGCAGTGGTGGACTAGTACATGCCGAAAGCGTCGTCCATAGTGCTACAAACAATCCAAAAAGGGGAATTATGAGTTTCCGTGTGGATACAGGCAGTGGTTTTGGAGATACTTTCGTGCTTAAATCGATTTTGGCCAAACGACGAGGTGTTGATGTTGACAAAGCTGGTTACTCGACAGTAACAGTAGTACGGGATTTTCTGTGATTTGGACGTGTTGACTCAAACACGGTTATTGCTCGAGAAAGATGTACAGAAATGAGAGGAAAGTTACAGCGTCTGGAAGAGAACCAACGACTCATCATCCAAAGATTCACCAAAAGTGTCCCGTGTGGGAGGACGACTATGGTCCGAAAAAAAACCACCCTAATGGGTGAAATTAGATACTCATAAACGGAAATAAAGAGGCCAAATGTGGGGTAAAATTTGGCAACTAAATAAACAAAGAGCACAAACAGAGCCGAAACGATTGTGTGTGGCAAAAGCAATGTGTGTTTCAGTCAATAAAAGTTACATTTTTAAATAAGTGAAGCTCACCTGAATCACCGTCATATTCAGTAAATTGGAAGTGCCAAGAAGCGACAACGAAGATGGGCCGAGAGATGAATTTGCTTGTGCAGCACGTGGCTGTTCGATAGACGCTTCGGCCATGTCAGTGAGACGTCCCGGTGCCGGATCCAACGGCTCCAAACTCACCATCGGTTCCAGTAAGTCACAGCCCAATTTTAGTTGATCTTCCGCCCACCGACGGTGTCGACACCAGAGCTAAGCAGGAAGAAACGACAGGTAAATGAAACAAGGCGGTATTGTTACATCATTGAAGACTGAACAGAACCAATCATTCCCCGGAACTTACTGAGATAAGCTGAGGTGCCTGACAGGCGTTGAAGATCACACTCACACGAGTCGTAGGGGGGAGTACTTGAGGTCGTTAGAATCGCCAGAACAGCTCGTAGAACTCGTTTCAGAAGGTGAACTATCGGTAGTGTTTAACTCGAATACTATATATATATATATATATATATATATATAATATTCTGAAAACGACGAATTCTTAGTCGGTCCCAAACTTTTTCCAGCTCATAGAACCGTTTTGCGGAGGCTCAGTATGCTATCTAGAACCAATCGTTTATACGCGTTGAGGCACACCTAGTAGTGGGCGCAGGGTAGTTGCCCGGTAAAGGCTGCTTGGTTCACAGACGCGACACGGTCTCTATTCGTTTTTAAGGAGACCGCGTTAGATTTATACACTTCGTGTCACATCTGTCTTACGTTTTTTAGCCGCGTCAACATATGTGACTGAAATCCGAGTGAACAGAAGAAAAGCGGAGAAATACAAGCAAACAGGCTTCCAAAGGATTCCACAGATCACGGTACCAAGCTCCTCATCCAAAGGAAACACGAGGGCTGAGATACTGCCAGGTTGCCCAAGCCTAGAGAGGAAAAGCCGAGAAGCAGAGGTTGGGGACGAACCACGGATCTTCCGGGCAGTAAATTCGCGCACTAACCACTTGAGCAGTCTCGCCCCTCCATCCTCCTATCTGTTGGATGAATAAAGCTAACAGACAGCACAACATTCATGCCCTGCAAGCGAAACAGTTGCATCAGTACGCTTTGTATTCGTGACACCAATGAGAGAGACCAAGATAGCTAGCTCAGTGGTTAAGGCGCAAACTTGCGGAAGGTTCGAACCCGACCATAACATCTGGACACCTCCTGCCCGGGCTTGGGAAACTTAACAGTATTTCGGTCCTCGTGATTCCTTCGTGTGGTGCGGTAGCTAGACACTGAAAGGGTGCTGCAGCAGAACCGTTATTTATTACTGAGGGAGTACTATATCCAGAGTTTGAAGTGAAAGAAATGTTCCTCTGCAGACTCTTCTGATTATTGTTCATATTGTCTTGGCAGAGTAACTATCGAAATTGTTGTGATGTTTGACTGTAGCGTACGTTGGAGTCAAGACCCTCAGTCAGGGATCCGTTAGGCCCAACATCAGCCACGTGTTGTAACCAGACTCCTCTCGGGTTCAGTGCGGTGATATCGGAAATTGGGAGCGGGGAGAAAATAAGATGAATACAAGAACGATCTTGCCCCTGGGATATCACCTGATTCACTGAAAACTCTAAAAGTCCCCACAGCACGCTCACTAAAATTTACGGTCGTTGGCATTTCTTTGGACTCATGAAACCGATCAAGATTTGGAGATTGAGCGATTTCCTTTCAAGCACTTTTCACTAAATTACACTTTGTTCTGAGAATAACGCTGTTTTAACGATTTACCTTTCCAGATGACAAGGCACTTAACTCTCAACTAACTCAGCACCAACAGCGCCACAGCCCTTGATATATAATCTCGGTATTTTGGCATTATTTCTTCTAAAAAATAGATGGATAAACCAGACGGCAGCAGGTGTCTCATAATATACATTCCAGTAATAGACACGTCGAAGAAAGAAGCTGTGCCGCCCGTTCGGTGAATTAAGCAAAACGACGGTGCTGCCTATATTCTCAAAAAGAAAAAATCTAAAGATCAGAGGATGAATTTGAACAATGGACTCACGTTTCCATCCAGTGAGCTTATCGAAAAATTTGGGACCGAAAAAAGCATCGCACCTGTACAACCACTGGCTGCTTGAAGAGTGAGTCATCATCGGGGCTTTAAAAAAACGAGACGAGGTCAATCTGACCCTCTCTCTTCCTCCAATACCCAGAGTACGAATACCTCTAGATTTCAGTGCAAGAACCAATACATATGGATAAAACCTCTGGAATGTAATGGAGGTGCGTTGTCGAGCTGTCTGAATTCCAAGTACACACAACTTGCTCTCGTAAACTAGATACAGAAGTACACATAAAAAAATCGCCCAGCCTTAGCACCCTTTCGGTGCCTAGCTGCCATGCCACCCGAAGGAGGCACGAGGGCTGTGATACTGTCAGGTTGCTCAAGTCTAGACAGGAAAAGTCGCGAGGCAGAGGTCGGGTTCGAACAACGGACCCTCCGGTCAGTAAATTCGCGCTCTAACCACCTCGCCCCCACATAAGTATACAGTCGAACCGCAAAGCCCATATCGTTCACTAATCTGGGTCTACGTGGGCCACGAACAAAAACGTTCCCGGATGAGAAAAAACACGTGTTTGAGGTTTGCAAAATTTCATTCGCGAGCTGAAAACGGCAATGCTACCCTAGTCCACAATCATGCGTCATCTGGTGCGTCTGACCTACATTACGGACACCGCTTTGGCTTCGATAAAAAAATCGACAAAATAGGCGGCGCTCCTGCCACTTTGGTGCATTTCTTTGTGATCAAAGTAGTGAGTCACTGTGGCGTAAAAAAAAGAGTGAAAAAACACCACGTTTTGAGTGCGCCTGAGTTGGGATACAGCGACCAAAGTGCCTGGAAAAGCACTCCACATCTGGTGCAGTCTGAATTGATAATTTGTCATGTGGTCTATGTCTGATTTTGGGATGTCGGGCGTGCGACTGAGCAAAACAGAGCGGCGGAACACAGATACAAAACCGCGACAAATAGAGAAAGGAATTAAACACCACGACGGACGCAAGGCATCATCGTTCAGAGAGTAGCGAACTGGGACTCGTATTAACCATCAGCATTGCTGACTCTCCCCGGCAAAGTGGTGACCATCCGAATTTGATCCGTTTGATCAGCAAACCCAATCGAACGTTCAGTTCAGTCTATCGTTTCACTAGCTGACCGTATATGGTATGTTGACTGACGGAAGGAAAAACCGTAACGCCGAACTTTCAGCGCACAGGCCTGAAGAATTTGAAGATTTCAATCTCAAGTATAAGCCCATTGCTCGGCTCGACTACAGGAGGTGAATAGCTCTCAGTGCGAAAAAGACCCTGCGATAACCACCTTCGGAAACGACAGTAAGAGTCAAAACTTCAACAACAACAGGCTGTTTCTGGCTACGATATTCATGAAAGTAACAGAAAGTCTATTCCAGCTTAATTCATCATCATCGTCATGAACAGAACAACATCGGTGTTCAAAGCCGGTGCTTGGCTGTCATACAACCATGATTTGTTTGAAAGCCTTATTGTGAGGGAAAGAATAACAGTGGAAGAGGAATGGACTCGGTGCTCGCTTACTACAATACTTCCGAGGTGCTTATACCTCCAGACACTCATTCAGGTAATATGGATAAAAACTGACAACAAGAACGCCACTGACATCAGTGGCAGTCATATCTTGTGGCGTCTCCAACCAGGCGCAGTGGAAATCACGAGGTCCTCATCCTGGAAGGCGAAAGCACCCAAACTTTTCGTAATCTCTTTCATACCCCTCTGCCAGGTCAATGGTTGGCTACCTCTCTGCTTCCGCCATTCAGAATTGAGCACGGAAAAAAGTACTCTTTTGGAAAAACGATGATTCGGCCTAACCACTACAGCATTTGGTGCTCGATAATCTTCGATTGGAGTCCCTGTTACGCAACGGAAAACGCGTTTTTCGATTGCCACATTGTATATTCTTCCACCCCAGCCTACACTAGCTATGGTTCTAAGACAACTGCTATCGAAGACCCGAGGGCATCTCAGTTCGTGCTTCCTATTAGGCAATGAAGGGGAGCTACTGTAGCTATAGGATGCGAGATGGACCAAGTGGTTAGAGCGCTGATTTACTGACCGGAAGGTCCATGGTTCGAACCCGACTTCTGCCACTCGACTTCCCCTGTCTAGGCTTGCGTGACCTGACAGTATCTCAGCCCTCCTTCCTCCTTCGTGTGCCATGGCAGCTGGGCACCGAAAGGGTGCTACAGCTGAACGGTTTATTTATTCATTTACTTATGACTGTAGCTACAGCCATATAATAAACACAGTCCGTACTGTAGCTTGATGCACACATCCCTTGAGATTCAGGGATATACCAACTCTGCCACCATGGGCGTCTCAAATTGACAAACGCGAACCGAAATGACAGACTCATCTGTTGAACTAAAATCGGAGCTTACACAACCTCCAAGGTGCGCAAAACACTCCACAATCCCGAGTAAATGAAATACTAAGTGATTGCAGCTTACATCGCAGAGTGTGGAACTCAACGCAGTGTCCAACCTGGCAGGTCGAGCAAACAAACGAGGAACACAGCGCGACAGCAAATATTGCGTTTTTGTCCGGCTGGCTGGTTCGGCTAGACGCGATGCCACCGGAATCATTGTATCTTCTCCGTGATCCATATTCCACCGCAGTTCGGCCGTCGTCATCCTGATAGTCTCGTCAATCTGCAACTTAGATTTGTTCGCACGCCGTTGACGACGTATCTCGCCTTGGTGAAAAGACGGTAGGCGGTCAAGTTGTACGAGCAGTACACCATCCAAGTCGCCCATGGGCTGGAGAAGTTCCGGCGGTTGTTGTACCAAAGGCGGTGATATGTGAGGAATCCTTAAAAATACGAATATGGAAGAGATTATGCCTGGTTCATAGAGAATGGGGAAAGGCAAAAAAGAAAACTGGGATCAGAAGAGCTTGGTTGCTCATTAATTCGGTGGACTTTCAATGCGTGAGTGCAGTGGAACAAGGTCTTCAAGACACCATGCTTGATATAGAGAGAAAGTGAAGTGAATAGTGCAGGGTACAAAAATTCAAGAGGTCACGTGAGGCCAGCGACGCTTCAGATTGCAGCGAACATATCGATCCCCACTGGAAAGTGAATGTGGATCTACTGCAGTTCTGTTCATCTGATCGAAAGCACCGCCACATATTTGTGCTCCTCTACACCTTTCACACAATATCGGACAGATGGGAGAATGAACTTTTCCTCAAGGAGTTAATCTCAATGTCACTTTTTTAGAAAAAGCTTACGTGTTTGTATTGACCAGATCAACAGGATGGTTGGAGTTTACCGAATCTTTTCTTGACGCGCAAAATAGAATAAGTGTTGTCTTTATCGAACGGGTGACGTAGTTGAGACAAAAAAACGTTTAAACCCTTGTAATAGGACAGAATGACAAGCTTTCAATAAGCCCGTACCAAACGAAGCTGTTCGAACGAACGCACATGAGATTAGTGATTCGTTTTTCAGGCATAGGGGCTTACATTAGACAGAAAAGTGTTCTGAAAAGTGTACACATGATTGGATGATTGCTGATCGCCTTTAATAATGTGAGTGACGTGTATGAAGTTGAAATTTCGAAAATAGGACGAGCTCAGAGGACTCATCTATACTACTACTATTACTACTACACCTGCAGTCACATTTGACCACAAGCTTGAGCAGGAATTCATTAGAATGGAGACCTCATGGGCAGCATGTTCTACAACAAAATAAAAGGGATGAGGCCAGGTGGCACCACCTCTGTAAGTCCACTGATGCTGTACCGTCGGACAGTGGCTTGTGAAAGTTGCGCCTAAAAACCCAAGAACAGTCCTGCTAACCTCACTTGGACCCACCAAGGTACAACACTCAAGACCGTTTGATGTTGGGTTTCAAGGACGCTAGCTTCACTTGTCTGTGGTCACAGATCTCCCTTTCAAGAGACGCAAAGCGAATTTACAGGAAGGAAACATACTACTCGCATGACTCCCATCAGTAGTATTACCGTTGCACCAGTAGTCCAGTACGTAAAAATTCAGCAAATTGTAAAAAAAAACGATAAGATAATCCCTCCTCGGATCCCCTGGCGTGGATGAACAGCTCGAGACAGCTCAGTGGTTAGGGCTCAAACTTACTAACCGGAAGTTTTGTAGTTCGAACCAAACCTCAGCTTATCGACTGCCCTGTCTAGGCTTGAGTAAGCTGGAAGTCTCTCAGCCTTCGTGCCCCCTTCGGGTGGCATGGCAGCTATGCACCGAAAGAATGCTACAGCTGAACGATTGTACTAGTACTAAAGGTGGGTAAAATTCGCCCTTTTGTACGTAGAAAGCTCGTACATTACGGAGCTACAAAAACAAGGTTTGGAATAAGCAAGGTTCCATCGTTCACTAGTCAAAGCAAGGGACATGGTAACTTTCTGAGCTATGAGCGCACAGATCAAACCACCCAATTGTAAACAAAGCAGCCGCACTGTAGCTCCGAAAAACAGCTCGATTTCAAATTATACAGCGATTCCGTTCAGGGGAAAATCTGAGAGCTCATCACACTGCTACTCAGCTGCTCGAGGCCGAACGATCCCTTACTGACCGGAAGGTCACGGGTTCGATGCACACTGGGGATGATTCCCAACAGGGATAAAAAATCTATAGAGTGCTTCTCAACATAGACTAGCCTCACTGAAAAGATGAAATACCAAATAAAACTTACAAGACATCTTCACGCTACGGCCAAGATCAAAAGATTTTTTCGGCCAAACTTTTTTCAGGGAAAACATCCCACAGAAGAAAGAGAAATTAACTGACGCCCATAGAACGGCTTATAAGGGTAGGTCAAATAGTCCAAACAGGACCCACTATTGTCTGAACGGATCATGAATACCTTGGTGACCAAAAAACCCCAGGGGAGTGCGATTAAATACAGGAATACTGAAGATGAAGAGACAGCTCGTATCTGGCTTAGTTTTACGCGATTGCACCCACTGCCGAAGGACAGTTTCTCGCAGAAGTGCAGTGTTTCGTGTGTAACCCCACTCCTGTTGTTTGTAGAAGCGTTTGAACGATAAAATAAGATTTCAGTATGGCTCCAGGCTGGTCGTTCTTTGGTGAGCTCCATACAGGCCAAGTGATCGATACTAAGCACTAATGAGGAGACAGAGGATGGGAAAACGACGGCGTACTTTCAGTGCCTCCAACGCGAAATGACGACAACAGCCTCTAGGGATTTTCTGAAGTGTAGTGCATTGCACGTTCATGGAAGCCCACCCGTTTAACTTGGAGATGGCTGGTCCGAAGAACCAAAAAAGACAATTCACCCATACTGTATCGTTACAGCGGTAATGGACGATATCAAGTACACGTGAACCAGTCAGTCAGTCAGTTTATCACCTATAAACCAGGTGCGAAAGGTATGTAACTGTTACAGTTTAGTCCGATGCAGGAGCGCCACAGAATGCGTAACTGAACTGTGTGCACTAGTGTTACTAACCACTGATTAGTTGAGTTCCTTAGTCCTCATTTAGACGGCCAGCAGTTTTCAACCCGAGTGAGGTTAATGATTAGAGCTCTGCCAAGCCAAAATGTTCACCTCTCAGTTGCTTCCGCTCACAGTGTTCCACAAAAAGCTCAGCGAACCAAACGGTCTTCCGACACGCGTAAGGTCGCACTTACTCCATTTCGTTGAATTAGGTCTGTGTATAACCATCGAAACAAAGTCGACAAATTTCAGAAACGTCTGACTGATTAATGTCAGATGTATTCATGGTCAACAAAACCAGATTTTTGGAAGTAATTCTCGTATGATAACGCGTTCGGTCGGTGTCGCGTTCCGTAGCTAGATCACCGCGCACTGCGTAAAAAGGGAGGATCAACAGATGACAAAGCGGACACCTATCTTCTGTTCGAAAGGTAACGAACCGAACCAGTCATCAAAATCAAGCAGTAAATTCAAGGTTCTTTGTTTTGCTGTCGCTTTCTTGTGGGATAGTAACTCATGTCACCTAGGCAAGTTACAACTTACTTCGTTTTATCAGGTATACCTGAATACCTGGTGTGACTATGAACAAAATATCTATCCCGCAGAAAACCCCAAAACTGCAACCAAAAAGTTGCCCAGTGGGTTTCAAGCGTGTGTCACGCTACCTGACTGGGAAGTCCTGACTGGCGGGTCAATCGATCGTCACAACCAGGACAGTTACTGGGTCGTCGTTCGATGAGTCAATCACATCGCTCAAGTGTGATCACGTTCACCTGTTCAGACGTGAAAATTCAGATGCGTCCAACATCTCCTTTATCGACCAATGTTGACCGACCAGGTTTTAGGAATTTCAAATTCAGGCCTGTGCAAAAGGACTCATTTTAAGAATGGAAAATAGACGTTATTTAGCTGTGGACTTAGATCATGGTTATCGACCAGGTTTTGAATACAAGGCTTCCAATCGCTCAATAAGTGGAACCGTCCGCAGACAGTCGATCCCACGCGTTTGAAATCGATCGATCCAGTCGTATGTGCTGCTATTGCGCTAAGATGGTGTATTCAGGTAGCTTGAACCAGGTAAATAAATGACCCGGCCACACAACAACTGCAAAGTCCTGAGGTGAGAAACAGAGCGCTTATCTGACCTAAGTTAACGATTCATTCGTTCTTTTTATTCACTTCGCAGCATGAAAAAAACAAGATGAAGCTGCTTAACCGCACGCAACGACAGAAAGCTAGGGTCTGTTCATCGATTACAGTTTTCTACCGGTACAGAGGTCTTTTCACGCTCCAGTTGGAAAAATAGTCAGGACATCGGGAGAAGCCCCTCCCCTTACATGACATTTTCCCCAAGGCCAATGAAAACGATGGATAGCTCTTACCTGGTTTACCCTATTCGGGACTCATCAGCTAGGTCTAGTCCTCGAGTTTCCATCACGGTTAGGTGTGCACTTCAACATCAAATTGAACGTGCTTGGGCTGAAGACCACCAAACGGGTGGTTGGCTGTTCAAAATATTCATCGACCTAACAAGTAGTGTCATATATCGATCCATCACCCATCCAAAGAACTAAGAAACAAACGACTCAGTCGGTCAGCAACCCGGTGGATACCAACAGCTAAGCACACACACACCGTTACGGAGGTCATCAAAATGGCCTTTTCTTCAAAATGGGAGGCAGAGAGCTCGGTCGTCATTACTGTCAATAACCACCCCCTCCCCTACAGTAGTGAAAAAGAGCAAACCATGGATAGAAGGAAGCAGTAACACCATGTTCCGGAAATGGTCATTGTGTCCGATTAAGAGATAATGACAGCTGGTATGAAGAAAAAATAATCGTTCAGTTATAACACACTTTCGGTGCCTAGCTGCCATGCTACCCGATGGGAGCACGAGGGCAGCGATACTGCCAGGTTGCCCAAGCCTAGACGGGGGTAGTCGAGAGGCAGAAGTCGGGTTCGAACTAAACAGATGACTTACTGGATAGACTGTTGTTCGGTCAGTTGACGCTGTTCTGTTTGAGCTTCTGGTTCAAGGGGTTGTACACCGCGTGCCTCGGCTACATCCGAAATACCAGGGTTCTCTTCTACGGATTGGGGATGCTATAAAATCGGAAAACCGAGTAGCCGCATTATGGGGGCGGTGGTGAAATCGCCGTGTCATGACGAAAATATAAAAAATGATGCCAAAAAAGAAAGATTCAGCAATGCGAGGAACTAAGACTAAAACAACAAGGGAAGTATCCATTCTACTGCGACCGAAATACCAAACACTAAGCATCATTCAATAAAGGTGGCAAGGCTAGATATCAACATCTTGACAGACTAAAGTACAAAAGCTGGTGCGAAGATCTTTCGACATTTTACCGTGTTGTAAGCGTCTCCCACAGAAGAGTTCCAAAGTAATGTACGAAACGTGAGGATGCCCACAACGTTGCCAAAAACTCGTTAAACTGGGTGGTGTGCACAGTTTTACAGGAATTGATGGTGAGATGCGTTCGAAAAACTTCACACACAGAGAAGAGCGAAACATTGATTCCAAGTTGAATACGACTGTGGCGAAATATGGGCCACAAAATGAAGGTTCATTCGTGACAGCTCTTGGGTTTGCAAACGAGTGGCTACATTCTGCAATACTTCAGAACTGTTGTTGCAAACCGTCAGTACACCTGTAACGCACGCATCATGCTGATAAATTTAAAAAAAATCTGGAAATGACGCAGAGATGGTAATTATTGCAATCTGTTTCACCTCATATAATTGGCAACTCCCGAATACCAACACGAGCAGGTTTCCTCGACTTAAAATGCGCTTTCGACACCGGAGATAAAGAGGACCAAACAAGAACACCCGTTAGGTTTGTAAATGTTCTCACGTCCTACCTAGAAGTTCTTCACAAACAGCGAGGTTCACCGGAGGCTGTCTTTCCTTTTCTGTCCAACTATCGAGTACATGCATCAGAGAACCACAAGCCCAGCTGTCAACTACTGAACTTTAATTGTACAGATACAATCACTTTTAGATTATTTGAAGATCATGTGACCACAAAACGTACTCCACATAAAATAATGAAAGCAAACAAAACACAAATCATTCGACTATAGCACCCTTTCGGTGCCTAGCTGTTATACCACCAGAAGGAAGCACGAGGGCGGTATTGGGTTGCGCAAGCCTAGACAGAGGAAGTCGAAAAGCAAAGGTCGGGTCCGAACCACGGACCTTCCGGTCAGTAAATTCGCGCTCTAGCCATGTCGCTCCCAATAATGGGAGCAAGACGGTAGGGCTTCCAAACGTAATTCTAGGTTGCGAGTGCCAATCCACTAATATGCGGTTGAGTTGAAGCGCACGACTCTACAAATCAGTTTAAGCATCCTGATAGCTGCATAGGTCATGACGGGTGGGCACAATATTCCCCAACGTGCGTTATCCAGGTGTCAGGATTACATTTCACTGTTGATGATGGGCCGTTTCTATAAAACAAACGTGCTAGCGTTGTTTTGGTCAAGACTTGGCTTATCCGACCCAAAGACTTAAAAGATCTTATCATTGACGCCTGACATAGCAGATACTGGTTTGATTTAGCACATCAGTAATGAAATGGATGGGAAGCGAGTTCGCTAAAGCAACAGATAAAGGTTACCAGAGCAGGGTGGTTGGAACATGTACTACGCATGCCAAAGAGAGTCATGTGCTTTTCAAGCCCTTGATGGTGAAGGATTCGTGGGAGGAACAGGGTGCAACACAGTACCTCGAGATGAATGAGGCCGCGGCTAGGCTGAGTGCAGCGACTGTCTTGTTGACGTCCGTGTAGTTCTTTCCATACGCAGCTGTAAACCCTGCGGAATATGCCCGCAGTGGCGGGCATGCTATCACTTCTCAGTTACAGTATTTAGCTAGGATTCATCTGTCGTTGTATACATGATTTGCGTTGGATGAGGTTAACACAAAACGCTGAGTCAATACTACCAATTGTGAGCTGCTTCAAAATGCTGCACAGAAGTTGCCCGGAGGTGTGGACAAATCAACTCCTTCGGCTGCTTTCCACATAGAACCTTTTCATCCAAGCTCACATCATTTCTCAATCAAGGAACCACGTGACCACGTGATTGAAGGACGAGTGGCACCATGTCCTGTTTAAGCGAGAGCTAATCACATTCTGGATCAGCAGCTTGTGACCCAACGGATAAGCGTTCAACCACTAACCGGGAAATCGTAGATTGTTTTGGGAGATGGGCACTGCTGATGATTCTCAACACCTGAACAGTGCTTCTCAGCTTTTTAAGATGGATTGGCTTCACTGACAGAAATCTCACAATCTCTATTTTTTTCACGGCTTTCTTGAAAATACTTTAACGAACTCGACGTACCGATGTCATCTCGACTTGTGATGAAGCGTTCGCAAGAAAACAGCCCAGCTGGCAAGTAAATCAACGGGCTTCCTCGTAAGTAGTGAATAAATAGCGTACGTGCAGTTGTGGAGAATTTGGGCTGACGAAAATGTAACGGTAAGAGGTTGGAAGGACAAAGGGGAACAGGCTGGTAGTCTCGGGGAGAAAATAGCTCTGATTGGCTGTCTCTAATGATGATGGTGGTAGCTACGACAGAGGACGGAAACTTGATGCAGGTGACTAGAGGAGCATGGGAGAGGCATAATAATCCTTACTTACAAAGTCACTAACTTACCTCAACTGAAGTCACACCTGATGGACCGACAACCGTTCCGTCCAATGCTCGGAAGGTGCTGTAAGTAACCAACAGGATAATGCGGGAAGTTTGGTCAACTACGTTCCGAGTACTACTCACAACGGACCACAGCGTGTCAGTTCATGTCCATTATAAGAGACTCATTAACATACAGCTTACCCGTTTGATTGAAAAGCATTCAATTCACCCAGGGTGATTTGATCTTGGTCTGGTATAGCATACACTGAAGGATCCGCAGGGAGCAACCTGGGCTCCTCGATTTCTGTCACACTGAAAAAAAATGTCAACACTAGTAAGAGGGTTTGGAGGGGAACGACAACATATCTCGTCTTGAAGCTTGAATGGCTTGTGTTCACGCGTCCGTTTTATCTACAGATACGTGAGGACAGATCGTGATACAGTTTGGTGTTCATTACGGAACAATTGAAATACATTCCAGGACTCTGGTGAATGGCTGACAGCGCAACTTGACAAGCCAGGAAGTTCGAAATAGACTGATAACATGTGATAGGGTTCAGGATAACATTCATTTAAAATACTTACACGGTACCACCCCCCTTCGAGGTGGTCCGTCTAATACCGTTGGTGAATCACTCTATACGCAGAATAAACTAAACTATGTAGTGATAAATTTTTCGTCGTTATTATAATGGTACATCAAATTCCGATTGTTCGCCACGTGTTAACTCTGTCGGGTATGCCACTTTTTGTGACCACAGGTACAATGCCAGATATGGGATATCGCTTAATCGTCCTTCGGCACTCCCTGTACAGCAAACCAATCCATCCGCCAGTTGAAAAAAAATCGCTCAGGTGAACACCCTTCCTTGACAAGCCAGGAAGTTCGAAATAGACTGATAACATGTGATAGGGTTCAGGATAACATTCATTTAAAATACTTACACGGTACCACCCCCCTTCGAGGTGGTCCGTCTAATACCGTTGGTGAATCACTCTATACGCAGAATAAACTAAACTATGTAGTGATAAATTTTTCGTCGTTATTATAATGGTACATCAAATTCCGATTGTTCGCCACGTGTTAACTCTGTCGGGTATGCCACTTTTTGTGACCACAGGTACAATGCCAGATATGGGATATCGCTTAATCGTCCTTCGGCACTCCCTGTACAGCAAACCAATCCATCCGCCAGTTGAAAAAAAATCGCTCAGGTGTAACACCCTTCCGGTGCCTAGCACGAGGGCTATGATACTGCCAGGTTGCCCAAACCGAGACAGAGGAAGTCGCAAGGCAGAGGTCAGGTTCCAACCACGGACCTTCCGGTCTAACCACTTGAGTCATCTCGCCAGTTGTCCTATCCAGCTAGCTGCAGTAAAAAGTGACTTAAGTAGTGCGTTGTTCGAATAAGCCGAGTAAATGGACAGGTGCTGTTTTGCTCTTTTCTCACATCACGTCGAGTAATGTTGGTGTACAGCTTCGGAAGCCATCCTGAATCCATTTACCAACAGAGCACAAGATGGCCACTGTAGAGCTCAATTCAACTCGTACCTAATCAGGAACATTGTGGCGTCCCTAATTCGGCCCTGTATGTGTAGGTTCCATTCGATTGAGGTTTTCAATGGACCGGTGCTGAAGACCCTGAAGAATACGTCATTTGAGTTGTCTCTTCCGAGTGATTCCGTCGAACCACAGACTAACTGGGATTTGTCGTATGGCCTTTCACTCTCGGTAGACTGTCAACCAGAAAGAATGGGATTTCCCAAGCTGAATGCCTCGTGTGATGTTGAAATCCAACGGCGTTTGTGTGAAAGTGACATGCCATTGGCGTAGGATGCAAAGAGCGTGGACGTTGCGGTGATCGTAATACACTGTAACAGAAACCCTCGAGTGGTCATATTAGCGACCCTCACCGATCATGGGTTAGAATGCAATCCAACCAATGAGACCGAAAAGCGCCTGTTCCAGATCATATCCTCTGTTCTAAAGAATAATACTAATAAAAACTGTCAAACTATGTGACCGGATGCGAATATGGGAATTTTGCGTATATCCTGTACCACAGTGACTGCATCCGGCATAGGAATCCAACTGTGGTACGCGGAAGAACCTTGACTTTTAACTGGCTGCCATACCATCCAAAAGGCGCACAAGGGCCAAGATAGTGCCAAGTTGCCCCAAGCCTAGAGAGCAGTCGAGACGCAGAGGCCAGCAGCACGGACCCAAAAGGCGCACAAGGGCCAAGATAGTGCCAAGTTGCCCCAAGCCTAGAGAGCAGTCGAGACGCAGAGGCCAGCTTCGAAGCACGGACCTTCCGGTCAGTAAGTGCGCGCCTTAGCCACTTAGTCATCTCCCAATTATAAACACACAGAGGCTTTATTCATTACAGCCACGGATTCGAATGGCGACTAGTGAGTCCCAGACGTAAGGCGAAGTACGAAGTGTGACAGAAAAAAGTGAATATCATTTGGGCATATATGGGAGAGGCGCAAACACAATAGATCCATGTACCTCTCAGAGCATTTGTGAGTTGCACATGCGGTAAGGAGGAAGGCAGCGACGAGAGCCCCCGCGCGCAAAGCTCACTTACCTTTACATGCACTCCTAGATCATCACAGAGATACGGGATACTAGCTGCTTGCGAGACCGAAACTCGCGATAACAGATTGACAGAACTACGTGTCGCTACAATCACTAAAATAACCCCAGTTGCTTACCATCAATAAAATAAATAAATAACCGTTCAGCTGTAGAACGGTGCCCAGCTGCATTGCCAACGGAATGGGGCACGAAGGCTGGGACAGTTCTAGCTTGCGCAAGCCTAGACAGGAGAAGTAGAGATGCAGAGGCCGGGTTCGAACCATGGACCTTCCGGTGAGCAAGCTGGCGCCTTAAATACCGAGCTACCTCGAGCCAAAACTAATATATCAACAGTTTACTAATAAGCCTCTTGAATTCGGTGCTACGGGCTATGTCAGAAGAACGTTGTCGAAAGACCGCAAGAAGCAGCTGGAGCCAGAAATCAACTAGGGATCGCAATCTCGTAGGTAGGCTTATCTTTTCCACGGTGTTCACAGATGGTATATGATACAGTTCGTCAGCAAGCATATGGGTAAGTGGAACAAATATTACAACCATGTTCTCGATATTTGAGAAAGCAATGCGAAATGTTGGATTGCGATGTGATACGCGAGGAGCTAACGTATTCACCCAGAACGCGCAGACAACTAACCGAAAGAATCAATAAAAATTTACAACGCACGTGCCAAGCACAGCTGATTGGACTCGTGGAATTTTGGCCTCTGGTTCCACCACCTGATCAACGTCACAAAGTGGACGTCGGCGTGATTCTTCTGGAGATAATGATGCCACTTTGTCCGTTGCAGCAGCACGAATCGCCACATCATTGTCAGTAAGCTGGATGAGATCCATCCCTGAAGAGAAAGCCAATTCCTCCCCAAAAGTCAGGTTGCTGACAGGAATCTAGGAGACAAGCATCAACTGTTAGTTGGGAGCTGGTAAAATCAAAAAACGAGAAACTAAGAGCACATCAAACCTCCGCACCAGATTGACGTTTTCTTCCATCAAGGTGATATCTTCAACACGCGCTTGATACAAGGAAGTCTGCATCATATCGAAAAGATCCAGATCTACTCCAGCGATATGCACCAAATCCGGTAACTCAAGATTGACTGAGTCACGAAGAGGGTCGGCAAGGGGTAACTCCGGCATATCCGGTTGTTCATCACGTCGCCGTTTCTTGGTGTGTGACGCTTTATTACTGAAAACGAAGGTCATGAACAGAAAATGAAAACCGACATCCGGACTAAACACAGCAATCCGAAATTGGAAAAAGCCAACAAAAATGAAACAAACAGAACCCAAAGGAACGCGCAACGCACCTTGGTGTAGAAATGGGTAAATCAACACTGGTGGGTTGAAAAATGAACCGTCCACGGCAAAACAACTCCTGAAGGTCACCTGCGCATATCAAACGGAGTGGACATGATCAAGACTATGTGGGTAATTTCGAGGATTCTCCGGAGTAAACTTATTCTTATACTTACCATATATACTCGTACTGAACTTTTGTATGTACATTTCAGCTCATGTGCGCTTGTTCTTAGACAAGTAAAACGTTGCTTATCCTCGAAAACCTGGACTCTGTTCTAACTCGTTCTCGGACACTTTCTAAACGTCTCAAAGACTATGTGGGTAATTTCGAGGATTCTCCGGAGTAAACCGGACACACTGTGATTCCTTGGCCATAATCGGACCTTGTGGGTGTTTGGCAGCGGGAAGAAGACCACTACCCAGCTGCTAGATTGCTTGTCACTAGTGAGAAGTGAAGTTCAGGACTATTTTAATCTCGTAAACTCTTAGCCAGAGCCACAGGGGAAAACAACGGTAGTTTCTCTCATCAGCAGTTGGGAGATGGCTGTACCATACCCAAAATGTTACGCAGCGCGCGTTTGACAACTTAGTGAGTCAAATAATAACTAACTGCTTCATATATCTCAGTGTTACCCACAACTTCAGTATGAACAACATCCTAAGCTCATGGATTGGTTATTATCAGGCCCTCCAAGGAGATCAGCGACTGGCCATTCTTGACATTCGCCAGTAGATACGTTGTCTGGATAGACTCGAGTTTACTTCAGAACCAAGACGTGCTTTCACAGATGGAGAGACATGTGAAAGACACCCTGAGTGTGGGTACTTCAGTTTACGGCCAAATAGCGTAATAACACCTGTAGGTTTCCTGTTACACACTAGCCGGGATAAAATTTGTGGATTATGTTAGTCTTCAATTCTTTAACTGTTATACTATGGAATAGGGGTATTTTAACCCCCCTTATTGATGAGTCAAGGGAGGAGAAATATAAAACAGTCTGGGTTCGGATAACACGATGTGACTTACGTAAGACGTATTCAGTCTTCTCCCTGTATATAATGCATAGTCCGAATGTTAGTTGAGAGGCCAAGTATAGCGAGAAACGAACTCGCGTACGGCCTGAAATGCACGATGCTATTTCATTGCTAGAGAAAACAAACATAACGGAACAGGTCATCTGGATAACCTAATACGCATACCAAGCGTCCACAATGTCCACCGAATTCAACTCTCGCCGGGATAGCTTCTTACGCATCCTCGTCGCCGCCAGCCTGGACAGAGTTACAAGTAGTCGAATCAACAACGGAACAAATACCATATGAGACTGAATTTTCCTCGATGTATAGATAAAAGTTCGACGCTGTAAAACATTTCACCTGGTGATCAGCACTTTTCGCGAAAACTCCAGAAATTGGGCTGAAAAATGATTAGACCCATAGGTTAATGCAGGGATAAACTGGGAACAGCAAACATCGGAAACGAGATTAACGAATGCACGTATGCACCCACAATTGTAAATACCCAAGTAAATAGAGTAGCAGCGGTAGCAACACAGAACGATGGAGTTAAGGGACCGTAAAGATATATCTTTAGTCAAATTCAAGCAATATCGACTTTCAAAGAGCAATCACGAAGGTCACTGAGACTAACTACCGAAGTCTGATTCCATGGGCTGCCATTAATAAAAGATTGTGAATTGTTTCTCTCCAACTGTATACACGCTTGGTTATTGGGTAGTACCAGTCCCCTTGTTGCGCATAGACAGTATGTAGGTTAGAAACGTTGCTGTAGCTTTACGAACTGGCCTGGTTATGTTTTAGAGACTGGGAGAAAACTCTCGCTTCCGTCCACTACGTCAGATCAGGTCAATCTGACGAAAATACCAGTTTCTGACCCCTGTCCTCAACCCTGTTGTTGAGAGGCTATGAACTCTACCTATCCCTGGGACCAAGGGATATGAAATAACACTTGGGCAAAGTACGTAGCCTCGTGAATATGATCTTACGAACCAAAAAAAACATTTAAATGACACAAATAAATAAAATTAGTAATTGTTCGCCTGTAACGAACTTTCGGTGCGTAGCTACCATGCCACCCGAGGGAAGCGCGAGGGCTGGGATACCTCCAGGTTGCACAAGCCTAGACAAGAGGGGTCGAAATGCAGAGGTCGAGTTCGAACCACGGACCTGCCGGTCAGTAAATTCGCGCTTTAACGAATGAGCCATCCCGCCCAATGAATTAATTAAGTGACAAGTTAATTGATGTGAGAATATTTTAACTCCAAAACCCTTGTTTGTGGAATAAACAATCGGTGGCGAAATATTCTCAACTTCTCCGGACTACCCAAGATGGAGCGAATTAAGAGGTAGGTTTTCTAAAACTGCCAACAAAACAGCAGCTTGCCCATTAGGTGTAGACAACAATGTAGTAGTAGTTAAATCCTCTCGCTAAGATCACATGAGACTACTTCGATATCAAAGACCCAGTTGAGTTATTACCTTGAATTTCCACGGCAATGAGACACCTCGTTTTCGGATCTGTAGAAAATGTGCACTGGAGTGCCGTCTTTTTCTCGTCATTTCGCAAAGCGTTTTCCACTCTGGCATATCCTGAGTGTGTTGTGATGTGAGGGTGAATTTCACGTGAAAAAGTACGCAACAAGTCGGCAAATGATTTTCGTATTTTACGGCCTACTGCCGACTGTGTTTTCGAGAAGAGGTAGGAACAATGGTCGTTGACTTGTTCGCTGAGCTGAGCAATTTGACTGCAAACGTTTCATCACCAATCGAGGTGACATCATCAGTGCGTTATTGGGGAGAGTGGTTGTGCGTAGCGGTGGGTTAGTGGTTGTGCATTCACAATGCACAAACAATTATGATGGCGCGTACGGATTCTTGTCTCATAGGGACTCTGTGTACCTCGTTCCGTGGACGCGTACATGTCTAGATCCTTTCCTGAGTTCATCATATGCAGTGGTGCCAGGATGTCATCAACATCATCAGGAGCAAAACATCAGTGCTCAACACTGATGTTCCCTGATGTACAACCATGATTTATTTGAAAGCCTTGCTGTGTAGAAAAGAATAGCGAATGCAGAAAAGATTTAATGCTAACTTATTACAATTATTCCGAGGTGTTCGCACCTCCAGACACTCATTCAGGAGATCTGGACAGAAAGTGACGACAAGAACGCCACTAATATCGATTAGGAACCACATCTTGCAGAGTCTCTAGCAAGGTGCACTGGGGATCTCACGGTTCGATATGTCCTTATTTATGGTTCGAGGGCGTGTTCGTTGTGTGGAAGACATAAGAACCTCTGTGTGTGACCATCTGTACGCCCGAAGGATTTTGTGGGTAAAATAATAAAAATCGTTCAGCTGTAGCGCCCTTTCTGTGTCTAGCTGCCAAGCCACTAGAAGGAAGCACGAGGGCTGGCATACTGCCAGGTTGCCCAAGCCTAGACAGAGGAGTCCAGAGGGAGAAGTCGGGTTCGAACCACGGACCTCTCCGTCAGTAAATTCGCGCTCTAACCACTTGGTCCATTTTGTGGGTGCATTGGGAACAGTAGATCAATAATGCTGAGGTATGTCACACGGTTTTCAAGAGGGTTCATTCACCATCGATAGACTGGCCGGTCACACTCCACAAGTTACGTCGGTCAGGTCATGTCAGAGCACCGCTTGCCACAAGGAGCCCTCTTCGCCCAGCCTTGTGTAGGATAAAGACGATCCAGAAGCGGTCAGTCCGTGACTTGGTAACAAAGCACGAAAGCCCCCACTAGTCAACTGGGTTGCAGTACTAACTGAAGACCCCCTGATGGAGAACGCGGGACAAGACAAAGCAATGGTTAGTGACCGTGACAGATATGGCTGTGCTACGGAGCCAAAGGGAGTCTTGCTTCAAAGCTATCGCCTTAACTGGGTAGCTTCCATTTACTTCCACACTGGACAAATAGATTCATTCGTAGTCAACTCATAGATTGCGCTGTCGCCTCCAACGTTTGGCTCTCATTCTTATTCTCCTTAGCCTTGGTGAACGAAGCTGGAACCACTGCACTTCGGTGCACGTCTTGTGAACCGAACTGAACTAAACCCTGATTCAATACATGACAGTACATGACAGTGAGTGAGACGGGTCGGTGGTTGGTGGGGTCAGACCTGGAGCCATGTTGAAAAAGCAGAGGAGAAATGAAAGTTCCATATGTGTATAACGATGATGATGATAACGATAGGCAAAAGGAACTTCGAATGTTTTGGAAAGTTCAAAGGCACGGTTAAAGCACAGAATAAGAGGGATCAGGTAGCCCAGAAGTGTTGAGCTGAGGCAGCAGACGGCGAATACCTCCTCGTGGTGATAACGAGCAGAGATGTCAGGAGCTCAGTAAACTGGTACAGGGACGGGGGAAAAGGAACTGGAGGCAAAAAGACCAGCAAAGATTGCTGTTCTTTGTAAGGAGAGAGGTTCCGACTCGCAGATGCCCCAATGGTAAAAAGAGGTACGGGAGAACAAAATTTACGACCGACTGCTGTGTGCATACTCCAAACATACCTACTTCACACAGCCAAGTTCCCTCACGCGCAGCAGGTTCATCTTGCACCCTATCAGACATAGGTGTGCAGGTGCTGAGTGCAGCAACGTTGTCAACACATACCCACCAACGTACCTACAGTCTATTTTCTTTAATACCCACAGGTATCCATAGTAATGAAAACAAAATGATCCTTCAGCTGAAGCACCCTTTCGGCGCTCTGCTGTCATGTCACCTGAAGGAAGCATGAGGGCCGGGTTACTGCCGGGTTGCCCAAGCCTAGGACAGGGGATGTCGAGATGCAGAAGTCGGGTTCGAACCACAGACCTTCAGCTCAGTAAATTCTCGCTCCCAGGTATCCATGGATAAACCACTCAATGGATTGCTACCTTGGTATAAAATCGTGGATAAACTGGTTCATAACATAACACCTCTAATTTTTTCAGTGAAAACTTCGGGGTATTCAAACAGGTAAGATTTTCATGGAAAATTGATCCTAGACCAGGTGAATGGATATGAGTGCAGCTAGAAAGACTCGAAGAAAACATGGCAGTTTAAGCGTATAGAACCACAACAATCATTGGAGCTCGAGGAAACTCAGAGATTAGCTCGCGAACTTCCTGACGAGGACGTCCGTGGTTCAAACTCAACCTCTGCATCGCGACTGCTCTTGTCTAGGCCTGTGCACCCTAGTAGTATCTCAGCCCTTGTGCTTCCCTCGGGTGTATGGTAGCCATACACAGAAAGGGTGTTGGAGCTGAATGCTTATTTTTATTATCACAGATATCATTCGGAGCGACACATCCAGTGGACATCCAGTGGACAAGCATGCTGAACGTTGAAACTCGCGTTAGCTATGTCGAAAGCTTAGCTACTCTGCACCGTATATTTCCAAATGGATCAACGGTACACGTTCCTCGGGTAGATATCACGGCTCCTCGCCAGGAATTCCAATCATAGTCCCCAAAGTACTGGCTGGCAGGCAAAGCCAGTCACCAATGAAAGTCTCCCAATCACAGAAACCCTCGCCAGATGGTTCTGACATCTTATGCTGGCATTGCGAGCAGTTTGAAGATCACGTTAAGAGTGACCAAGTGCCATGAAAGCACTGTTCAACCGGGGACACCAGCAGCCGGTAACGAACACATTCGTTGGCTCTGCTAGACAGATGACCCCAGCGCGAACTCACCTGACCGACATAAAAAAGTCAGGTCCACTCCTCTAGTGCATGTGACACAACATCCAACTACCTCCAATTAAAGGCCGCTAACGTGTTTTTCCCTCCAACAGCCTAAATCTTGGGCTCCATCGATTGGGTTGCATGAGTGTTTCATCCGATTTTGTTAGTCCCTCTGCGGTCCTGGACGTTGATTTCCTCCATCTCCTTGATCTGCTGGTCCACATAAGTCGCAAAACGTTATTGCACTGCTAAACAAAACTGGGTATTGAGGGTGGTCTGGGAGAAACCCCTTAATCCAGTACCGGGCAGTACCAGGCTCCCACAGCTTTATCCGACTCATCTGCAAATCCCCAGAACCTCACAAGACCCCTTTGAAATGAGATCCAATACCGGTTCCGTAAAGACTGAGGCAAACTGTACCTGATAAACTGCGGACGAGAAAGCCGGTCGTACATTGTACCATCCATCCCTCGAAGACCTACCAAGCCTGGCTCCTGCATCAGATCCCTAAGATCGCGGCGGGTTAAAGACTGTATACAGCCCTGCTAGCACCGTGGGCGACAATGTGGCTCACAGACATCTGATTGCTTTTGGTTACATGTCTCCTTCGATCAACAGCATTACCTCTGGCGTTATCTGGGAGTAAGTAATTTCATGAGCAAGAACTTGTGTATACTGGGGCAAGCGCTGAGCACAAAAACCATTTGAGGTTCCGAAGCGCATACAATCCCTGTGGTAAATCAGCGTGCACGTTGCCACACGGTTGCTCGTGCTCTAATATGATCCGAATGGCACTTCTGACTGCGCGCAATTCCTGTCCGGAATCGCACTGCTATTCTGGCGGATTAGATTTGCTAAAGTTGCCCATCTATGGATGAATACAAATAGATTAGAATTTTCCAGAGGATGAAGTCGCTTGATTTGAACCTTGTGATTCCGACATACCCTCGTCCCATCCCACTGACGTAAGGTGTTCGGGATCCTGTGGCTCCTTTTGGCAGTGCCAATTGACAAGCAACTGATCCTAAGGTCAATGTTGCTACAGTTGTCACTATAGTGACTGAATGATTGACTTCCCACACCTTGGAAAAAGCAATCAGCTGCAACAACCCTTCGGTACCCAAATGCCATGCTGCCTGAAGGTAGCACGAGGGCTGGTATACCGCCAAGTTGCCCTACCTAAACAGGGGACGTCGAGAGGCAGGAGCTGGGTTCGAACCACGGACCTCCCGGTCAGTGAATTCACGCTCCAACCACTAAGCTATCTCACTCCTTGAGGGGAGATTGTTTGTCTGACGGTAGAGAGAGTTCAGACAACTATGTCATACCCAAAGCCTCTGAGGCTTCTATCCAAGTTGCGTTCACCGCGGTGAACACCAAGCTAGCATAAGAGCAACGACTTTGGCTATAGTCATGTTGNTATGTGGGTAATTTCGAGGATTCTCCGGAGTAAACCGGACACACTGTGATTCCTCGGCCATAATCGGACCTTGTGGGTGCTTGGCAGCGGGAAGAAGACTACTACCCAGCTGCTAGATTGCTTGTCACTAGTGAGAAGTGAAGTTCAGGACTATTTTAATCTCGTAAACTCTTAGCCAGAGCCACAGGGGAAAACAACGGTAGTTTCTCTCATCAGCAGTTGGGAGATGGCTGTACCATACCCAAAATGTTACGCAGCGCGCGTTTGACAACTTAGTGAGTCAAATAATAACTAACTGCTTCATATATCTCAGTGTTACCCACAACTTCAGTATGAACAACATCCTAAGCTCATGGATTGGTTATTATCAGGCCCTCCAAGGAGATCAGCGACTGGCCATTCTTGACATTCGCCAGTAGATACGTTGTCTGGATAGACTCGAGTTTACTTCAGAACCAAGACGTGCTTTCACAGATGGAGAGACATGTGAAAGACACCCTGAGTGTGGGTACTTCAGTTTACGGCCAAATAGCGTAATAACACCTGTAGGTTTCCTGTTACACACTAGCCGGGATAAAATTTGTGGATTATGTTAGTCTTCAATTCTTTAACTGTTATACTATGGAATAGGGGTATTTTAACCCCCCTTATTGATGAGTCAAGGGAGGAGAAATATAAAACAGTCTGGGTTCGGATAACACGATGTGACTTACGTAAGACGTATTCAGTCTTCTCCCTGTATATAATGCATAGTCCGAATGTTAGTTGAGAGGCCAAGTATAGCGAGAAACGAACTCGCGTACGGCCTGAAATGCACGATGCTATTTCATTGCTAGAGAAAACAAACATAACGGAACAGGTCATCTGGATAACCTAATACGCATACCAAGCGTCCACAATGTCCACCGAATTCAACTCTCGCCGGGATAGCTTCTTACGCATCCTCGTCGCCGCCAGCCTGGACAGAGTTACAAGTAGTCGAATCAACAACGGAACAAATACCATATGAGACTGAATTTTCCTCGATGTATAGATAAAAGTTCGACGCTGTAAAACATTTCACCTGGTGATCAGCACTTTTCGCGAAAACTCCAGAAATTGGGCTGAAAAATGATTAGACCCATAGGTTAATGCAGGGATAAACTGGGAACAGCAAACATCGGAAACGAGATTAACGAATGCACGTATGCACCCACAATTGTAAATACCCAAGTAAATAGAGTAGCAGCGGTAGCAACACAGAACGATGGAGTTAAGGGACCGTAAAGATATATCTTTAGTCAAATTCAAGCAATATCGACTTTCAAAGAGCAATCACGAAGGTCACTGAGACTAACTACCGAAGTCTGATTCCATGGGCTGCCATTAATAAAAGATTGTGAATTGTTTCTCTCCAACTGTATACACGCTTGGTTATTGGGTAGTACCAGTCCCCTTGTTGCGCATAGACAGTATGTAGGTTAGAAACGTTGCTGTAGCTTTACGAACTGGCCTGGTTATGTTTTAGAGACTGGGAGAAAACTCTCGCTTCCGTCCACTACGTCAGATCAGGTCAATCTGACGAAAATACCAGTTTCTGACCCCTGTCCTCAACCCTGTTGTTGAGAGGCTATGAACTCTACCTATCCCTGGGACCAAGGGATATGAAATAACACTTGGGCAAAGTACGTAGCCTCGTGAATATGATCTTACGAACCAAAAAAAACATTTAAATGACACAAATAAATAAAATTAGTAATTGTTCGCCTGTAACGAACTTTCGGTGCGTAGCTACCATGCCACCCGAGGGAAGCGCGAGGGCTGGGATACCTCCAGGTTGCACAAGCCTAGACAAGAGGGGTCGAAATGCAGAGGTCGAGTTCGAACCACGGACCTGCCGGTCAGTAAATTCGCGCTTTAACGAATGAGCCATCCCGCCCAATGAATTAATTAAGTGACAAGTTAATTGATGTGAGAATATTTTAACTCCAAAACCCTTGTTTGTGGAATAAACAATCGGTGGCGAAATATTCTCAACTTCTCCGGACTACCCAAGATGGAGCGAATTAAGAGGTAGGTTTTCTAAAACTGCCAACAAAACAGCAGCTTGCCCATTAGGTGTAGACAACAATGTAGTAGTAGTTAAATCCTCTCGCTAAGATCACATGAGACTACTTCGATATCAAAGACCCAGTTGAGTTATTACCTTGAATTTCCACGGCAATGAGACACCTCGTTTTCGGATCTGTAGAAAATGTGCACTGGAGTGCCGTCTTTTTCTCGTCATTTCGCAAAGCGTTTTCCACTCTGGCATATCCTGAGTGTGTTGTGATGTGAGGGTGAATTTCACGTGAAAAAGTACGCAACAAGTCGGCAAATGATTTTCGTATTTTACGGCCTACTGCCGACTGTGTTTTCGAGAAGAGATAGGAACAATGGTCGTTGACTTGTTCGCTGAGCTGAGCAATTTGACTGCAAACGTTTCATCACCAATCGAGGTGACATCATCAGTGCGTTATTGGGGAGAGTGGTTGTGCGTAGCGGTGGGTTAGTGGTTGTGCATTCACAATGCACAAACAATTATGATGGCGCGTACGGATTCTTGTCTCATAGGGACTCTGTGTACCTCGTTCCGTGGACGCGTACATGTCTAGATCCTTTCCTGAGTTCATCATATGCAGTGGTGCCAGGATGTCATCAACATCATCAGGAGCAAAACATCAGTGCTCAACACTGATGTTCCCTGATGTACAACCATGATTTATTTGAAAGCCTTGCTGTGTAGAAAAGAATAGCGAATGCAGAAAAGATTTAATGCTAACTTATTACAATTATTCCGAGGTGTTCGCACCTCCAGACACTCATTCAGGAGATCTGGACAGAAAGTGACGACAAGAACGCCACTAATATCGATTAGGAACCACATCTTGCAGAGTCTCTAGCAAGGTGCACTGGGGATCTCACGGTTCGATATGTCCTTATTTATGGTTCGAGGGCGTGTTCGTTGTGTGGAAGACATAAGAACCTCTGTGTGTGACCATCTGTACGCCCGAAGGATTTTGTGGGTAAAATAATAAAAATCGTTCAGCTGTAGCGCCCTTTCTGTGTCTAGCTGCCAAGCCACTAGAAGGAAGCACGAGGGCTGGCATACTGCCAGGTTGCCCAAGCCTAGACAGAGGAGTCCAGAGGGAGAAGTCGGGTTCGAACCACGGACCTCTCCGTCAGTAAATTCGCGCTCTAACCACTTGGTCCATTTTGTGGGTGCATTGGGAACAGTAGATCAATAATGCTGAGGTATGTCACACGGTTTTCAAGAGGGTTCATTCACCATCGATAGACTGGCCGGTCACACTCCACAAGTTACGTCGGTCAGGTCATGTCAGAGCACCGCTTGCCACAAGGAGCCCTCTTCGCCCAGCCTTGTGTAGGATAAAGACGATCCAGAAGCGGTCAGTCCGTGACTTGGTAACAAAGCACGAAAGCCCCCACTAGTCAACTGGGTTGCAGTACTAACTGAGGACCCCCTGATGGAGAACGCGGGACAAGACAAAGCAATGGTTAGTGACCGTGACAGATATGGCTGTGCTACGGAGCCAAAGGGAGTCTTGCTTCAAAGCTATCGCCTTAACTGGGTAGCTTCCATTTACTTCCACACTGGACAAATAGATTCATTCGTAGTCAACTCATAGATTGCGCTGTCGCCTCCAACGTTTGGCTCTCATTCTTATTCTCCTTAGCCTTGGTGAACGAAGCTGGAACCACTGCACTTCGGTGCACGTCTTGTGAACCGAACTGAACTAAACCCTGATTCAATACATGACAGTACATGACAGTGAGTGAGACGGGTCGGTGGTTGGTGGGGTCAGACCTGGAGCCATGTTGAAAAAGCAGAGGAGAAATGAAAGTTCCATATGTGTATAACGATGATGATGATAACGATAGGCAAAAGGAACTTCGAATGTTTTGGAAAGTTCAAAGGCACGGTTAAAGCACAGAATAAGAGGGATACCATATGAATCAGGTAGCCCAGAAGTGTTGAGCTGAGGCAGCAGACGGCGAATACCTCCTCGTGGTGATAACGAGCAGAGATGTCAGGAGCTCAGTAAACTGGTACAGGGACGGGGGAAAAGGAACTGGAGGCAAAAAGACCAGCAAAGATTGCTGTTCTTTGTAAGGAGAGAGGTTCCGACTCGCAGATGCCCCAATGGTAAAAAGAGGTACGGGAGAACAAAATTTACGACCGACTGCTGTGTGCATACTCCAAACATACCTACTTCACACAGCCAAGTTCCCTCACGCGCAGCAGGTTCATCTTGCACCCTATCAGACATAGGTGTGCAGGTGCTGAGTGCAGCAACGTTGTCAACACATACCCACCAACGTACCTACAGTCTATTTTCTTTAATACCCACAGGTATCCATAGTAATGAAAACAAAATGATCCTTCAGCTGAAGCACCCTTTCGGCGCTCTGCTGTCATGTCACCTGAAGGAAGCATGAGGGCCGGGTTACTGCCGGGTTGCCCAAGCCTAGGACAGGGGATTCGGTGCACGTCTTGTGAACCGAACTGAACTAAACCCTGATTCAATACATGACAGTACATGACAGTGAGTGAGACGGGTCGGTGGTTGGTGGGGTCAGACCTGGAGCCATGTTGAAAAAGCAGAGGAGAAATGAAAGTTCCATATGTGTATAACGATGATGATGATAACGATAGGCAAAAGGAACTTCGAATGTTTTGGAAAGTTCAAAGGCACGGTTAAAGCACAGAATAAGAGGGATACCATATGAATCAGGTAGCCCAGAAGTGTTGAGCTGAGGCAGCAGACGGCGAATACCTCCTCGTGGTGATAACGAGCAGAGATGTCAGGAGCTCAGTAAACTGGTACAGGGACGGGGGAAAAGGAACTGGAGGCAAAAAGACCAGCAAAGATTGCTGTTCTTTGTAAGGAGAGAGGTTCCGACTCGCAGATGCCCCAATGGTAAAAAGAGGTACGGGAGAACAAAATTTACGACCGACTGCTGTGTGCATACTCCAAACATACCTACTTCACACAGCCAAGTTCCCTCACGCGCAGCAGGTTCATCTTGCACCCTATCAGACATAGGTGTGCAGGTGCTGAGTGCAGCAACGTTGTCAACACATACCCACCAACGTACCTACAGTCTATTTTCTTTAATACCCACAGGTATCCATAGTAATGAAAACAAAATGATCCTTCAGCTGAAGCACCCTTTCGGCGCTCTGCTGTCATGTCACCTGAAGGAAGCATGAGGGCCGGGTTACTGCCGGGTTGCCCAAGCCTAGGACAGGGGATGTCGAGATGCAGAAGTCGGGTTCGAACCACAGACCTTCAGCTCAGTAAATTCTCGCTCCCAGGTATCCATGGATAAACCACTCAATGGATTGCTACCTTGGTATAAAATCGTGGATAAACTGGTTCATAACATAACACCTCTAATTTTTTCAGTGAAAACTTCGGGGTATTCAAACAGGTAAGATTTTCATGGAAAATTGATCCTAGACCAGGTGAATGGATATGAGTGCAGCTAGAAAGACTCGAAGAAAACATGGCAGTTTAAGCGTATAGAACCACAACAATCATTGGAGCTCGAGGAAACTCAGAGATTAGCTCGCGAACTTCCTGACGAGGACGTCCGTGGTTCAAACTCAACCTCTGCATCGCGACTGCTCTTGTCTAGGCCTGTGCACCCTAGTAGTATCTCAGCCCTTGAGATCAACCTGATAAAAACTAACATCGTCCCGAAACGAACCGAGTGATGGATCAAGGATCTGCCGTTTGTAGTATGCACGTGTATACTGCTTCAATACCGCACACTACGGAGGCTCATAGGCTTTCTTTCTGTCCTCCCTCAACAAGAATTCTTATGAACACATACTGCACGTGCAAATCAGAGTGCACATTTGACCTTGAATCAAGGCCGGTCTTTAACTGATTCACGGATTAATACACAACATCGCGCCTTTCGCCAGTTTCCCGGGTCGGTTTTGTTCTTGTCGTTTAGCGCCTGTCGTTCGCCTGAAAGGCGCAAGTGAGAAATGGCGTAGCACTGCTCTTTAAGTTCTCAGAGAGGGGCATGATGCTCTCCAGCACGAGGACTCGCACAACTAGGTGTCTAATAGTGCTTTGATGCAGCGTAGACATACATCGGAGGAAGGTTATTCCACATATCTAATACCCGAAATGAGAAAATAATTTGCTTTAATCTCGTAAATCTTCTTACCATGTCCCCGACGTGTGCTTGCTGGGTCAACGGTGAAAAACCTGCTGGTCAATCCTTGTTCAAACAGGGCATAAGTAGGAATTAGGTCCCATCGGAGGCGACGATACGCCAGGAGAAAGAGGTCAAGCATCGCGAGAAGGGCTTTGTAGTCCATGGATTTGATGCCGACAACCATTTTGGGGCGGCTCGCTGGACAGGCTCAATGAGAGTGACGTCTGTCGTGCGTCCTGAGTAGACAAATTGGTTGGTGTGTTCCAGGAGCGGTCTGACGTAGGCCCCATAGAGTATTTGGAAGTCAATGCGAGCGACAAGGGAGAAAGTGTGTCGGCTCAACCGCAAAATGGCGAATACCTTCTGGGCCGACTTCTCATGGTGTAGTGGGAGGGACCTGTTTGAAAAGAGCCAAGTACTTTTTGACATCTATCCTCGTTGTGTATTCCGGGCTTTTCCCACCGTGCATGACAAAGGCATTCGTTGAGTCTCCTCCAAACGACATATTGACGCTGCATCTTCTATTGGGTTGACAATGAAGTTCCCCACGTTTATTCTGTCCCCATCTGTAACTCCCGCCCCACTTTTGTGTTTAGTGTGTACATAGGAACTGACGTTTATTTGTCCTTACCACTTCACCCATTCGGCCTTGAGGTCATCCGGCCGTTTGCAGCCGACTATGCACGTGTGACTGCCACACGTGAGCCATGGGCTAGACGCACACCCGAAATTTCTCTGAAACCGTGGTTCGAAGGAGAAAAACTTCAACATAAATTTTTAACATTTGATGGTAATTTTTCGGGCGTATTAGATCTTCCCAAACGGCCGCAGTTTTGTTGAAAGTTGTTTAAATCTACCCAACCCCCACGATATTCAAGGCCCACGATATTCATATTTTAGATGGCTGCTGTCGCTGAGCAATTGAATGCGGGGAATGATTTTGTGGAAACTTTAGCTCATTCAGTGCATTTCAATTCGCTTTGAAAGAGTACCAGAAGAAACATTTCGTTGGTTTCGTCCGTATAAACTCCAAAAAGAGCAGCAATTCGCTACTTTTGTATGGAACAGCCTTCTACCGTTGCAGCAGACATCCCTGCAGAAGCCGTGGAATTCGTCGCACCTAGTAAGTTGTGTGTACGTTGTAGCACACGTCGTACTGATTGTCCGGCAAGGTTCCACGTTCGTCGGTACCATGACTGCTTGAGGGTTACTTCCTACTACCCAGAGCACAACCATCCACGCAGCAAGTTTATTTTTGACAAGCTCCCCATCAACTCGACTGAAAAATGATGAATTAAGTGAGTGTTCTACCCCTTTGAAATGCGGTGCCTCGTCATCGGAGATTCGGCAGTGCGTCGCCGACCACTTTGGAAAGGTACTCACTATCAAGAATGTGCGTAACCATCGCGTCAAATATCGACCCCCACTGTTAAGTAGGCCGTTGGTTACCTTTTAGTCAGTTTCTTAGATGACATGTCTTCCATCATGGCCAAGTTTCGAGAGTGCGGTCGCGTGCTGCTGGTGGAATCGGAGTGTGGCAGATATAGTCAAATGTGATTTTCTCGAACGCAGCAGATAGCACTCTTTAGATGTTTCCCGGACGTCTGCACAAGCAGCTTGATCGGTTTGTTGGCAAACTGAAGCTGCTGGGTGCATGAAGCGTCTGACTGCTCAAAGCCAGCTGATGTTGCGTCAAAATGCAATTAGTGCATAGGACAACCAGCCTCCGGTGTTAGATGGCAACCGCAAGCAACCACGGTGGCGTTCGACATCAAACGATGCTGTCCCCTGTGGTCTCTGTGGCCAGCCAACTGACCCTGCTGATTGGTGGTGCCAACGTGATCGACTTCCATATCACCGTTATTGTTGCGGCAATGAGCCCTGCCCGCTGTGTTGGGAAAATCTTCAGGCGCATCCACCAAGTGAGCGCACATGTATAAATTAAACTACTCCCATTAGTTGTCGGTCAGTCTACCTACCGTTCAGCTAAAAGAGCTTGCTTTGATGTTGATCTTGATCGGTCCATGGAGTACAAGCCGAGTCTGCCCCGAAGGCAGTCGCAATAAAACTGTTTTGTCCAATTTCGGAGTTGATGGAGACCGGTAATTTGAGGCCTAATTTCTTAGCATACGCTTTGCAGACCTCGCTTTCGAATCCCGTGATGACGAGGAATTCATGTGATTGTAACTCGAAGGCCTCAAATGCCGAATCAATGAACCCATGGCAATCCGCAACGACTATACATTTATCCCTCATCTCGGTAATGGGAATTATGAACCACTAGGTAAGCAAACAAATAAAATTCAATTACATCCAGATGCTTAAATGCTGTTCCAGAAGGTTAATTGCTTGCCCATTTTCCGTTTCAGAATCCTTGTCCCGTGAAGTGGATCTTAAGAACATGAAAAATGGAGCGACTACCAATTAAGCTTGTATCAGTGATGCCAATGAATAAAATGCAATTCGCCAATGGTGTTTTCGTAAATTCATGGCGGGCGCATCATCAACGCGTGGAGTTATGAGTATGGAGCGCCGTCGTTGGCGATTGTATTACGTTGCCGTGCATAGGTGAGGCCCCATTATCTGCGTCGCGAATAGCAGTTACGCTAAGTAGCCGAGGTGAACGACAGCTCATTGTTTCGGGTAATGGAGGGAGTGGTTGAGGGGGTACAATCAAGAGTAGGATTTGGGAGCGCGCTATCAAAATGGGTGGTGATTGCATTTTGACAGGCGATGACCACCGTTGATCGTTGGGTTAGTCTATTATGTGTTGTCGGGGCATTATGGTTAGCTACGAGCATGTGTGCGGGCCTGGCAGTTACTATAGGTAGTCACGTAGGTTACGTCAAATACAGTTGCGATGTTTACTGAAGGTAGCAAACATAAACGGCATCGAGTAAGTATGAGTATGACGATAAATAGCCAAGTTAGGTGACTTCGAGTACAGTTGTGAGTATAACAGGCTGTCAGATTATGCTATCACCCATAGTTGAGTCCTTGTTTTTTACTGGTCGGCATATATATTGGATTGATGTTTACTGTAGGTAGCGAAGATAAACGGCGTCCCCTGCAGTATGAAAGACCATCAGCTTTATAGTAAGCGTTGCACATAGACACAGGTGTTGCAATTACGATAAGCAGCCAATGTAGGCGATATCAACTGCAGTTACGAGTATGACGGGCAGCCGTTGGTCGTTAAGAGGTCACGCATAGTTGGAACCTGGTTTTTATCGGCGCGCATAGATATTAGCTTGGTGATTACTGTAGGTAGCAGGCAGGTACGACAGTGAAAATTGGTGTTTATCACTGAGTTCACGCTCTCCATGATGATATAAGCAGCAGACATAAGCGAGAGCGTGCATATTTATGAGTATGACGGGCCATCGTCGGCAGTTAAATCAGGACACTTCGCATAGCCGAGGCCTACTAAACAGCGTCGCATATAGGCACTGGCCCAGCAGTTTCAATAAGTAGTCAAGGTAGGCGATATCGCGTACAGTTTTGAGTATTAGGTTAATCGGTCGCCGTTAGATTAGGTATGTATGCACAAGGACACCGACTCAACAGGTACGATCAATAACCACGTTGGATGACCTCGAGTACAGTTGTGAGTATAACGGACTGTCAGATGTGGCTATCACGCATAGCTGAGGCCTTATTTTTACCGGTCGGCATATAAATTGCACTGATGTTTACTGTAGCTAGCGAAGACAAGCGGGATCGCATATAGTTAATGGTATACAAGACCGTCATTGACCATCGGAGTATGTTACTTTGCATAGGTGCAGTCTCATTATCAACGTTGCACATAAATGCTGGCCTAGCAGTTACAAGTATTTGAGATGAGTGAAAACTAGTAGAGATACGAGTACGAGGGGCCGTCGTTGCTCATTGGACTGGGCTGCCGCGCATATGTGGGGAACCCTAATTAGCGTCACACATAGACACGGATCCAGCAGCTAAAATAAGTAGTCGAGGTGAGTGACGACGGCTACCGCCATCGTGGTGACCGCTTCATGTTTAGTGGTCACCACCTATAGAACGTCATAGTTATAATATGAAAGACGCCCACAGCATTCTAGTAACACTGTATTATCTACAAGCTAGTTATGCATATCTGGGGATGGGGATCGTCCACAGATGTCCCTCGCACTGCCACTGCAAGTTTGTGCTCTAATCTAACTTTATTGCACTTAATTGAACATGAGACCCATGGGGAAAATGCGTTGTGAGCAGGTTCACCAAACAAAGATATCCCATTTGTCTGAGCTGAGGTGTCTAAAGCAAACAAACGCATGCGACTGATCCTATAGGGTGGTATTTGCATTAAATACTCCTAAGATGTTATTTTTTCAGGAACACAACACCGAAGAACGCCGAAATATGCTGAAGTGCGATTTCGTGTTCTATGTCGCGTAAACCGGCAAAAAATCCAAATCGGCGATGGTCAATGACCTTGACATTTCGCTCACTTAAACAAAATGCTACGTGCAACATGTCACGGGAGGTGCTAATTGATTAGATAAACTTCCCATTAAAATGGTAACTTCGAAATCCCTATAGATTCGGCGAACTCAATTTGGGTGTATCAATAGCCTGCGGCCGCACGTGGGAGTGTGTTTGCTCCCCTAATTTGTAAATTTGTAGCCCAAGAGGACCGTTTGTTTTGGACGCGTACCTACTGCCGAGGTTTGTAGAATTTGTGAATTTCTCTTGCACTAATAGTACCGTATAGAGACCCAGCTCCGACTTTGTTTAACCTACTCGGAGGTTCCGGTATTGCGCGTCACTCGAAGATAGCGTTCGCCCGCTACAGTACTCGACATGATACGTCGTCTTGTTTGAAATAGAAATGTAAACTTTTGGAACAATTGTGAAGGAAACCGGATCCAAGGTGGCGGAAACGATTGAAGCCGCGGAGGAAACAATTGCAATGCAGATTGCTTCACGCACCGGTTGTTGTCAGTCACTTTGTATATTTAGTCGTAAGAGTAGTGTAGCCAAGAAAGCCTTCAGGAGCCTTAAGCTTCAGGAGTATCGGGTTAAGCGACAGATCGAGCTCCAACGGGCTCTCCTAGAGGAACATAGCGAAACCGAGTTGGCCAAAATTGGACTGGAGGCCGAAGACGACTCACCAGATGAAGCCTGGTGGCCTCAAATGAATGATTGGCGGGGTACGTGAAACAATGTCAGACAGATAAAAGACCTCTAGGATATGCTGGTTATATCAGAGGGCCATCTGTTGGGCCAAAACTGGCTGATTCCGCTACTCCAGTGTCAGCCGCCATGGACCTACCAAAGGTGGAACTATCATAATTTGATGGTAATCCGTGTCATTACTGAAGGTTTACCGCCACTTTGAGGTATACACTGGGAGCAAGGTGCAGGATGCAGGTCAGAAGTTTCTTTTTCTGATCCGCTACTGTCGAGGCGATGCGAAGGTGGCCATTGAAGAATGTGTGATGCTCCCACCGGAAGTAGCATACGCCAGGGATCGGGAGATTCTACGCAATCTCTTTAATCAGCCTCACATTATCGCCCGCTGTCTACTAGAAAGCCCGTTTCGGTTTGCACGACAGACCACCGGAGCAGCCAAGTCTTTGTCGGACTTGTGTATAAAAATGCGCAGTTGTGAAATTGCGCTGAAGCAAATGTGTTACGTCTCAGAATTGCACTCACTAGCGGTCGTAGGGAGAATTGTGCGTTCTCTTCCCTCGCCATTTTCAGGAGAAATGGGCTGAGGTGGCAGATAAAATATCTGTAAGTGGCCGGGACCCAACGTTCACGGACTTGACGGAGTTTGTGAACACGCGCTCGCGAGTTGCAAGGGGTCGGTTCGGGCAAGTGGCTCGAGAGGGAGACGTAAGGCGCCCCTCTGTAATGCCGACTTCTACCAACCAAACCATCAGACGGGATGGTTATACCAGTTTCCTAACCAACATCAGGCCAGACGCAGACGGTCGTCCAAGTGCCTGCGCATTATGTTCACAGCCCCATACAATTTCCATTTGCCAGCGCTTTCTCCCTATGAAAGTTCCTGACAGATGGAAATGCAGACGGCAGCATAATGCCTGTTTAGGAGACACCCACATGGCCAAGGATCGCAAGCCAGTAGTTCGATGCTGCCAGCCGGGTTGTAGGGGATGGCATCATAAGTTGTTACATAAATCACAACCCGGAAACAAAGCTTCGACGTCCCCAGAGGCGGAGGTTTTGTATGCCTTAACTCGAGGCATTTAGCTTCTGGCACGCCTAGGAGTTATTCCTGTCAAGCTTGACAGTCCTGCGGGAAAGATGACAACGTATGCCTTTTTAGATACTGGGTCCGACATAACGCTAGTAAAGCGCGACCTTCTGGTGAAAAATGGGGTCAGGCTGCTACCCACGTCTATGGCCATTGATACACTGGGTGGTTCCATGGGATGCACATCGGAAGCCAATGACATCACACTTTTGTCAGTGGATGAAGGCCAGTCGATAGATATTGACAAGGCATCCGTCGTTGACAGCTTACCTATGCGAGCTGTGTCATCTATCAAAGAAGCGGCTCGCAAGTGGCCGCAAATTAAGGAAGTTGCCTTCGACGAACTGACTGAAGACGATGTGGGAATCCTTATTGGTTGTGACGTATCCAAAGTGCACTGGGTCTTCGACCAGCGCCCTGGGGGCAAAAAACAGCCGTTTGCTGTGAAAACCTTACCCTGTTGGATACTTCTTGGTCCGATGAAAAACTGAGCGAAGCAGGTCGTCAGTCATCGTATAACCGGGTGCACTCAGGGCATCTAGGAGCGACTGTACAACTCGGAATTCGGAGGCACTTCAGCATCGAACATTAGTCTCTCTTTAGAGGATCGAAGAGCACTGTTGATAGTGGAGACTGGTGTGATGCGAGTAAGTGGGCACCATCAGCTACCACTCCCGTGGAAGGATAACGCACTTGCCCTACCCGATAACTTCTAGGTGGCTAGAAAACGTCCACATGCTCCGAAAACTAGACTGTGCAAGGATTGTGTTTTGCACGGAAAGTACGATAAGGTGCTTCGCGCATACCCAGAGAAACGATGCATTGAACGAGTGGCGGATGCTCCCACATTGTCATTAAATTCAAAGCAGTGGCATCTCCCATACCATCCGGTCATTCACCCGAAAGGCCAGAAAAGATTCGGATCGTATTTGGCTGCGCTGTCAAATGTCATAGCGTGTCCCTGAACGAGCACCTGCATCAGGGCCCTGATTTAACCGCAAAGCTTGTAAATGGTATGCTGGGATATCGTTTAGAGCAAGTTGCTGTGCCGATATCAAAGAGATGTTCCCACAGGTTAAGGTTGACCCCTGTGATAGAAGTGCCCTGAAATTCCTGCGGTGGGAAAACTATGCGTTCTTTTGAAAACCTTCTGTATTTCAATGGACGTCTCATCCGTTTAGGACCGCCTCCTCCCCTTTCTGTGCAACGTTCGCCTTACGAAATACCGTTGAGGGATTTGGCTCAGATTATACCGTCCAAACCTGCAGCGCAATAGGCAAAAATCTATGTGCTGATGACGGCTTAAAGTCATGGCTGGACTCTGTAACGGCTAAGTGCTTCGTCAACGAGATAAGCGCTTTACTCTCAAAGGGGGTTTTCCGCATGAGGAGCTGGTCTCTCAACGATCGCGGGGTGTTGTCAGCAACTGATCCAACCGAACTCAGGTCCGGTGCGAGAAACTTATCTACGGACCCATTGCCAATGAAGCGTGCCCTAGGGGTGCAGTTGGATACGGAAACTGATACACTTGTGATTGCCTTTAATTTACCGACGAAACCGCCAACACGCAGAGGTGTTCGTTCCTGTATATATTCATTGTATGATCCTCTGGGTTTTGTTTCTCCATGGTTAATACCAGACAAGTGTCTACTGCGATCCCTGTGCAAAGGTGGACTTGATTGGGACGAGCCGTTAAATGACACCGATCTCACTTGCTGCGATAGTTGATTATCTAACCTTCGTAGCCTCCATAACTCGCTATTTCCTGGGTGTATAAGACCTAGAGAGGTTGGTAGTATTCCACACGCCGGACTTCAGGTGTTTCGTGATGCATCGGGGACCGCATATAATGTGGTAGCATGCGCCCGTTCATGGGGGACGCTGAAATTTCTGGCTGTTTGCTTGTCTTCTCGAAGGCACGGGTGGCGCCCTCGAGTCCGTTTCGATACCAAGGTTGGAATTAACAGCTGCATGTCTGGCTGCCCGAGTAGCACAGAGGACAACTTCCAACGAACTGTGTTTTGGACGGACTATGTGATTGTTCTGTATCACATCCACAAAGTATCCTCCAGATTATGAACCTTTGTTGCAAATCGCCTAACAGTCTTTCGTGATATGTCCACCTACTCAATGGAGACATGTGTCATCTGAGAACAGCCAAGCTGACATTGCCTCTCGAAGGACATATAACCTCGGTCCACTGCGTAGATGGTTAACGGGAACCAGATTTTTACTCGAACTGGAAAGTAACTTGCCCCACAGCCTCGATTGACGCAGCCCCATCGTGTCGAGCTGAAAAGCCCTGTACCACAGGCTAACCGATTGGAGGGAAATTATTTCGTGTGCCCACCAATGTCTCGGTTTTTCTGCTGAATGAAGCTACAGAAGGTCGTGGCTTTGTTACTGCGTTACAAGCAGTACTATTAATTATTATGGGCAGAGCGAACAGAGGCTTTACCTTCCGGTCTTATCAGAGTATCCGGACTCCTCCAAGCATGTAATTGTTTGATAAAGATCGTGTAATCCAGTCATTTTGCGCAAGAGCTGCATCAGTTTAACGCTCCTGTACTGGATGCGAAGCGTTCCGGCAACCGGGCTCAAAGCGGCAGCTTGCGAAAATTGTCACCTCTCTTGATTGATGGCATTTTGTGCGTGGGGGACAGACTCAGTTAGTCAAACTATAGTCAGTCAGTAAAACATCCAGCTCTTCTTCCGAACCGACATCCTGTTACTGCCCTGATCATACGTCACTGTAATGAAATGGAAGGGCACTGTGGGATAGCGTAGTTCTTGGACTCTATCCGACAGCGATATTGGATTATCAATGGGACCAGCGACGTTAAACGAGTGACTGTTGCGCGCTCTTTATGCGGGTGCCAGCCCGCACAGTTCGGTACAAAAAATGATTGCTCCATTACGGCAGTAGAAGCGGGTTGGTGTTACTACGAGTGCATGGGAGTGGACTACTTTGGACCTTTTATGACCAAACTCGGTCGTTCGCAAGAAAAACGCTATGGCTGCAGCTTTAGCTGTCTGAAGACTAGAGCAGTTCACGCGGAGGTGGCAGGCAACTGTCCAGATTCATCCCTGCAATGCTAGATGCGCTTCGTTGGTAGACGTGGCAAGCCCAACGATATCTACGTTGAAAATGGTAAGGATTTCGTTGCGCGCTAACTGAATTTCGGGACGATATAAAGCGCTGGAGTCCAAGTAAAATATCAGGCCGGTTTCGACTGTGGATATACAGTGGCACTTCAATCCACCAGCAGCTAGCAATCGTGGTGTTGTGCGGGAGCGCATAATAGGTCGGTACGACGTGTCGTTCTATGTCTATGTATGGAACAGAGTTTGACCGGTGATCAACCGAACACGCTTCTTATGCAGGCGAAACGGATTCTAAATAGCCGAACCATATTCCTGCTATCATCAGACAGCAACGATTTGGAGCCACTTCCTCCAAACAGTTTGTTGCTGATGCAGTGCTGTCCTGCTGTACCCGGTCGCGACAACTTGGCCTCGCGATATCAAGCCGGTTGGAGACAAGTCAATTATCTCGCTGGCGTCTCCTGGTGTTGTTCAATAAGGAAATATCAGTCAACGTTGAAGATGTGTACCAGGTAGCTCAAGAAATGAAACGAGAGGACTTGGTTCCGGTCTCATTTGAGGACCTGCCTCGTGAGAAATGGCCTCTAGGAGTAGTGGATAGTTGCGAGGCGAGCCGAGAAGGCTTATTAAGAGCCCTGCACATTAGTATGGCGGGCGGAGTTCTTAGGAGAGATATCGGAAAGGTGCGTTTACTGGAGGGACGAGATTAGGCTGGTACTACATCGAAGTCGGCACTTGTGGCAGGAGTGGACTCGGATCATTCGTGTCGTAGGCCGATGGGGTATCTTAGGATGGGGCTGAACGTAGGAAGATACGGGGCATCCGCTGAATCAACGTAAAGAATTTGGCGGGTGGTGTATCATCTATTACGTTGACAATGAAATTCCCCACGTTTATTATGTCCCCATCTGTAACTCCCGCCCACTTTGGTGTTTAGTGTGTACATAGGAACTGACGTTTGTTTGTCCTTACCACTTCACCCATTTGGCCTTGAGGTCATCCGGCCGTTTGCAGCCGACTTTGCACGTGTGACTGTCGCACGTGGGAGCCTGTTTGCTCCCCTAATTTGTAAATTTGTAGCCCAAGAGGACCGTTTGTTTTGGACGCGTACCTACTGCCGAGGTTTGTAGAATTTGTGAATTACTCTTACACTAATAGTACCGTATAGAAACCCAGCTCCGACTTCGTTTTGCCTACCCGGAGGTTCCAGTATTGCGCGTCACTCGAAGATAGCGTTCGCACGTTACAGACGCATTATACGTCATCCAGAGAATGATGCCAGTCCAAAGACCACTGTTTTGAAGTTTCCACATCCACTTGGAGGACACTGACATTAGAACCCCAGGATTTCAAGTCGTCCGCGAAAAAACGACATGGATTTGAGAGTACATCTGTATGACCGATGACATGGATCAGGAAGAGTAATGGTCCCTGAACGGAGCCCTAACGAAATCCAACACAGACCGGCGCCGAAGGAGAGTAGGTCCAACCAACTTTAACCCGGAACGATCTTTCTGATAGGCACACCTTGATCCAGTGTGAAATTTCTCCTTGGATCCCGTAAGATTCGAGTGTGTGGAGCAGTTGAGCGTGTTGGACTCAATCGAATGCATTCGGGAATTTGAAAAATATGGACCTGAGCAGCACAACTCTCTTATCCGCGAAGCATTTGCGAGAGAAATAAAGCTCTTTAGGCCAAGATGTTGCTATTTTCGCGTGCGTGCTCAAAACAAAAACTACCAATTGGTCTTCCATTTTGCCACTTGTTTTATTTATTATCCTGTCTGAATTTGTGGTGCGTGTCCGGCTATGAACTTACTGTGCCACAGCTTCATAAGTGGCTCGCATACGTTTTTTGAGAAAATGGGGACTATTCCTTTTTCATCCTCCGCGGTGTTTCCGAAAGCGCTAAATGAATTCACGAAGAATAACGACGTAGTAGTTATGTGTTCATGCGGTAATCGAAGCACCTATGATGTTTTGGTTTACGAATAGATGCACTAAAAATGCGGCAGGCGGCCTGAAAGACAAAGAGAAAGTCGAGGATTCCGGAGAACCTGGCAAGCTGGACGTTCCTTCCGTTACCAAGCCGTACGCGAAATACTGGCTTTGTCCGTGCGCTTTTTGCTCAAGAAGCCGCGGAACCATCCCTCGTTTACTTCTTAGTTTATTGAAGGCAAACATAAGGTTTCTAATTTTTTGCACGATCAGCTTTTGGCGAATCGACGGCAAACCGAAGAAAAGCTTGGCACCCGCACGCAAATTATTTAAACCTATCGCCGGAAGAGACGGTGGATATGCTCTGCACAGTTGGGTTTTATTTTTGCAGATTATCTGCCTTCTGTCCTGGCCTGACCTCGGGGGACCGGACGCGTTATCTTGCTCGGCGCGAAGCCCCGTTTTGAATAATTTGTTAAAAAACAACTAACAACTTGCTCGTAGATACAAGGCGTACATCTTCCTGATTACGGATGACATGAGTACCGTGAGTCAAATTACGTAGGCCTTTGTGGAGAATGAACAGATTGCTCGTATGTGTGAACTTTCTGGCCCATTCAGGGAAGTGATGAGGGAGCACTATTAAGTTAAGACTTTCTGTCCTGGACAAGTTGGCGGAGCAAATGTGGGCAGCAACAGCAGTGTCCGGGTGCGACGTCGTGTTGTGCTACTTTGAGGTTAGAAATGCTAATAGGTAGTGCGTACGTATCACATAACCTTCGTGTAGTTTTGGTCACAGACAGACTGCGAACATCCGGGACGGTATGGCTTGCCTAGACAATAATGGTGTTCGACCGGCCTTATGCACTTGACACCAGTGAATTTACTCATTGTTAACGTAAACCATCTTTCTGGGGAAAAACTTGCCGTTTATCTATATTTTGAATTCCTTCATTTTCATGACCCTGTCACCTTACCCAACTCCCCAGGGTCACTCGTGGTCAGCGACGGTTGTTAGTTTTAATTCAAGTCAAGTGGCCTTACCGTAAGACTATTCCTGCCTCATGCCCCATTGTTCTAGTTTTTGGCTCCTAAAACCACGATGACTTGTTGCGCAATACGCATGCGTTGCCAATTGTGCTTTCTCCCCGTCGTTTTATTAAAATGCCAGGTTTGAGTTGTAGCGACCCAATCACGCCTCGATTGGTGAGTTCCCTGGAAGTAAGGAAATAAACCTATTGTTACAGTGTATATCATTTTTATTTCAGTGGTAACGTCGCGGCTTTAACTAGGTCCACTGGTTCATACAGTATGCTATTTTTCATGAAGCCACCTGTTTTTTCATATACCTAACAATTGCTTCCATCTCTGTTTATCGTGAGACTCCACAGTGTTCGAGATTACTTCGCAAGACAAAGCAGCATCTTACAGTAAAAAAACAGCCGATTCTCTACCACCTACTATTTTATCCTCATGCAATGAATCCCATGGCTTAACAGGACCATAGAGCTCAAGCATTACGGGTCAAACGATGTGCTATTGGTGGTACCATTTCACTTTGATAAGCTGTTCTCCAACAATAATTGTTAATCAGTGGGAGGCAGATCTACTACGATATCCAAGCAACCAAAATGTTTGCATGACGGACCTTATTAACTCCGATATAGAAAGTATGCGGACAGGTGGTGACCAGGTTTATTGTGGGAAACGACGCTTGCTTAACTCATGCAATGTCGAATTTATAAGGTACCCGGAACTCTGGGTATGCAGAAACACAGGTAAAACGGTGCCTTTGATTGTGCGTCAGTTATTGCTTTGCACGTTGGGGGTTCTTGGACATTGTTTTTCGATACGTATAACCGTCAGAGATGATGCGCACGTCATTGGCTGAGATAAACGTTATGAAACCTCTGGCTCCTGAACAACGGCATGGAAGCATGTGCCAGTTTTGCGATGATACATTAGCCAATCGCTGTGTCAGGATTTTGTACGAAAAGTGGCCCATTTAGCTAACGGCGGATGTATAACAATTTGAGGTCACTTTAAATATTCTGAAATTTGTCAAAGCATATAACCCCAGACTGCGCATTTATTGCCCATCTCGTATAGCTAATACGTCGGCGAGTTTGACAAGTCCGTAGTTCGCGCACCCACTGAACCTTGCCGTCAAAGGACCTGAATGGCTTAACTCTTTTTAACGTCGTCGCACTGAGATCCGATTTCAGGAAGCGGTGTGAGACCAAGTGGGGTTTTCACTGCACTTTTCCTGGAGGCAGTCTACCATACTCCTGCCACTCACTTGGTAATTTCGGTCCTGCCAAAATTAGAGCAACAAATCAATGGATTACAAAGAGAGGCCATACGTCCGCAGGCACAGGTGAACCAAATTTGTTCACGACGACGGTTTTTCCGTAGTTTTCTCAAGTAGGCGAAATGGAGAGCTCGATAAAGTGGCTAATTCACTTTGAGACATCATGTGTGGGGGGTAATTAGGTGCCAGATACAAGATACCACGCAATTTAACCCCGTTTCATGAGTCTGAATGAATGGTACGCTATCGTGTAACCGCACACTTTATAAGTGTAAGCGATTTGCGAGCAGCGATTGACATGCCATTTTATTCTCAGGCGAGTTTGCTTATTGTAACATTGGTCTTCTTGCGCATCTGCTCCTAACAGCCTTTTTTACCAGTCTTTCACAGGTTACTGCATGCACTAAAACCCGGAAAGGATGCAAGGACTAGCTCAGAGTAAGAGGGGCTTTATGCCAAAATCAGAGGTGGTCGGCTTCCAGTACATCTTAAAGTTATTCCTTTTAAGCCTGATGTTTGCAGGAGAGGTGACAACTAGTGCATTTTTAGCCGATGGGTAAAACACAACGCCAGTAAAGCGGGATTTTGGTTACAAATGAGATCAACCTACCACTCACTTCTATGGCCATAGATACGCCGGATGGGCACATGGATTGCACATACAAACCCAATGGCATCAGGCTTTTATTGATGCATGAGTGAGTTGGTACAAGCTGATATGGCATTTGTCGTTGAAGGATTATCAATGCGAGCTGTCCCGTCTATCAAACAAGTAGCCACATGGTCACACCGTAAAGAAGTCGCCCTTGATGGGTTGATTGAAGACAATGTGAAAATCTTTAATTGGGTGGGACTCATCCGAGGCATACTTGGTCTTCTACTAGCGCCTACCGATAAAAACAACCGTTTGTCGTAAAGACCTCACTAGATTAAATACTCCTTGATCATATTGGAATTGAGACGAAACAGAAGGTAGTCAATTTTTGTATAACTGTGTGTAGTCTGGGCATCCAGGAGCATTTAGAATGGCTGTACAATTCGGAATTCGAAGACACCTCAGCATCGCTTTAGAGGATCGAAGGGGATTGTTGATGGCGGAGACTAATTCTGTACGCGTAAGTGAACATGTAACGGCTACCCTCCCGCTTATTGACTGCTCTAAGAAAAATCACACCACCTATTCCCATTCTGTTTTGTTTGTCAGAATCACGCGTCTACCTTCAAGAACAACATGTCAACATTTCAACTCCAGCCTGTCAACTTTTAAAAGACGATATGTGATTTTTCCATTATTGTTTGCACATTCTACTCATCGCAACGACATATATAATGACAGAATACGAACAGCCACAGATACGCATCAGACGCACGCCAGAACGCAGGGCGGCTCAGCACAACAGAACAACACGCCTCAGCCGCACTCTGTATCGCCCTTTGCATCTAGCGTCAGCACACACCAGTCCAAGTATATTAAGAAGCAAGTGCGGCGAAAACATTGTCAGGAGAACACCTGGCTATCTTTGCTCGACCTCACAAACTGATAAGTCCCCCGAATTTTGTGTGCTTCAATTTTACGCTGTACTTTTATTCATAAGGTTCACCTAACCTTGTTATCGTTTTGGGTATAATACTCAAACTTTATTAGTGTCTCTCGCTTCTGGTATTTGAGCACAACGTCCATTTACCAAAGCACCAATAAACACTACCAACTACCATTCTTATTGAAGGATAACGCACTTCCCCTATGCGTTAACCGTCAGGTAGCTAGAAAACGTCTAATCTGGAAAATGTTATCGTTTTGGGTATAATACTCAAACTTTATTAGTGTCTCTCGCTTCTGGTATTTGAGCACAACGTCCATTTACCAAAGCACCAATAAACACTACCAACTACCATTCTTATTGAAGGATAACGCACTTCCCCTATGCGTTAACCGTCAGGTAGCTAGAAAACGTCTAGGTAATCTGGAAAATCGATTGTGCAAGGATTGCCTTCCACGTGTGTACCTTGAGAAACGATACATCAAATTGCCATCGAATACAAAGCAGCGGTATCTCCCACACCATCCGTTCATCAACCACAGTCCGCTAAGAACATGGTTAACCGGACCAAGATGTTTACTCAAGCAAGAGAGCGATTGCCCTCCACAATCTTGATTGAAGCCGCTGAAGTTGAAGAGCGTTGTAGCAACTCAAAATAAACGATGGTGTGTGCACACTTATTTGTGTGCGCGGAGATCCGTTTTGGTGGAGCTACGGAAGGTTGTAACTCAGACACTACACTACAATCTATATATGTTGATTAAAGCTGGCATGGAAAATAAAGAGGTGTTATCAGTGTCAGAATTCAGCCCAGCAGTTGATCGTTTGATAAAAATGGTGCAATCCGGTCATTTCGCACTGAGAGTACACATGGTCAACGCATGTGTACTGGATGTGAAGCGTCCGAGCAATCAGATTCAAAACGAAAACTTGAGAAACTTGTCATCTATCTTGAACTGTGGGGTATTTTGCGCAAAGAGCAGACTTGGTTACTCGAACTACAGTCAGTCAATAAAACATCCAGGTCTTCTTACATACCGACATCCAGATACTACCCTGAGTATTCGTCACTTTCATGAAATTAAATGGTACTGTGGGGTAGCAAAGGTCTTCGCCCCTATCCGACAGAGATAATGGATCATTATCGAAGCTGGCGTCATCAAACGTGTAATTGAGGCGTGCGCTATATGCAAGCGCCGGTCCGCACAGCCCGGTATACAAATTATCGCTCCATCGCCGGCAGACAGGGCAGAAGAAATTGGTGGCTCTTCAACCGCGTAGGAGTGGACTAATTTAAGACCAAACGGAATGTTCACATGAAAAACGCTATGGCTGAATCATAAGCTGTCTAAAACGTAGAGCAGTTTATCTGAAAGTGGCAGGCAATCTGTCGACCAACTCACTTTCGTATTGTTTGATGCGATTTGTCGGTAGACTTGTCAAGCCCACCGGCATCTATAGTGATCATAGTACGAACTCCTTTGGAGCGCTAACAAAATTTCTGGACGATGTAAAGCAGTGGAGTCCGACCAAAGTACCGGGCCAGTTTTTCACCATGGGTATGCAGTGGCATTTTAACCCACCAGTAACTAGTCACCGGCGGATTTTGAGAGCTTATAGTCAGGTTGATGCGACGTTGCCCTTACGTCCGTGTAGATGCGGTTTGCCGATGAACAATTAAATACACTCCTTATACGGGCGGAGCAGACTCTCAGTAGCATACCTGTAGCACCGCTACCATTAGGCAGCAATGATTTGGAGCTGCTTGCTCCAAAGAATTTTGGGATGCTCTCCTGTGATATCGATTTGTGACGATTCGCCTCTGTGACACCATGCTTATTGCAAACAAGTCAATTATATTGCCGGGGCATTCTTGTGTCCTTGGATAAAGAAATATCTTCCGGCGTTTTAGGTGCCTACTATGTGACGCAGATCACTTCAAGAATTGAAACACAAATGTGGAGCAGGAGTTACAAACTACGACGAAAGGAACTTATAATATTTCAAATGTCAAATCAATGGAAGATACATAGTCCTTCCATAAGTTAATCTACTGCTCAAATTGAACAGCTTCGACACGACGTGCTCGGCATTCCATCTCTACGATGGCNTTGTATACGTTTGGAGGTGCCTTTGATGTCTTAGGGACCAAGCCTTTCAGCTAAGAAGCAAAGACTCCCATGACTGGGGTGTCTACAACTCCCTTTAGCCTGAATTTTTCCGGTGCCCAATAATGCGTACGTTATCCCTTCAGTGTAAACAATGGATCATCATCAGTGACACTGAAACTATTTGAGCTACCGGTAAGTTTGTCATTATGCCACATGTTGAATATTGGTGGTTTACGGAAAACAAGAGCGTAGATCGCTACCCTTCAGGTATATAGCGGTTCATCAGATAAAGCTGAAAATACTTCCTCTGCGGTGGTTGTATAAGTTTCATGAGCAGGTTGGCCAGGACGATATCTCATGAAAATAGGACCATGAAGGACCGTCGCCGGCCATTTATATTATCGTTTCCGTATGGATAGATCTTCACAAACAACGAAGTGCGTGGTAGCTTCAGGTCCACGCCAAATGGAGATTCTAAAAATCCATCACCTCTGGGCATCCTATGTTGATTGGCCTATTTTGCTATTTTCACCTCTTGGGCCATCCTTATTATCGTTTTTTTTCACGAACATGGTGAGCCTGTCAAAAACAATTTTCCATTTGCGTGTCTCGGCTGATGGCACATCTTCACGGAGGACTCATCCTGCCAGTTACCAGACATTGTCTACTGTCCGTTATAAATATCCGCCAAACACAGATTCAAGTTGAAATTCATCTGCCGCAGCTTTGTTTGGCAAGAGGCATGCTGGAAATACAAAATGCGTTTTTGCAACTACCTACCGAGAGTTTCGTCTTCTTGAGTTGGAGCAAAAAACATGGCCAGCAACCAACCCCACCACAAAACCTCTGCTCTCTTCACAGACTGATCACGCTGGACTGTAACAGATATACAACACATGCATTCCTCCGCCGTAGATCATTTTTACGAAAAATATGTATATCCGGGTTAAATTTTTGGGTTTCGATAAAATACCATCAAGAGTTAAACACACATTCTATTTAGCTATGGCTGCGAATGAAATAGGCATGTGCATCTGTTAATCTACCTCTTCTGTACTTCTTACTGGAAGTAAACCAAAATTAATTCCGTCAAAACTACGGGGTTTTTTGAGGATGCAACTTTTACGGGGAGTTGCTCTAATCCGGTTTGACGTTTCATCGATATGTTGCTCGTAACCTTTCGTTTAAGTGCGCTTGCCGTGTCACCCAACAATGCAGATTTACATACGATTAAAGGCTCACGAAATTAGATACAAAAGCAAACCCTGGTGCATTCTGATATTCCGACGTTTTTTCAAAAGCGAGGTACCATCAGCACAATATCCCATGTAAGTTTCACACAGGTAGTCATTTGAGTAGCGTTTGTGTTCGTTGTACTCGTCAGAGGCAATCGTTAGATGGTGTTTACCAGGCCTTGGCTTAGGTTTTGATTGGGCATCATGTCTAGCGTGCGAAGACAATTTGATGCATTGCGCACCAGTGGCAGAAGAATGTACTTCTGCGAATGATCTCCATTCTTAGATGTGCACACGTATTCAGAGGAAAATGCAGCGACTGCGTTCTCCACGTGAATTTGTGGAACCCCACTGAGATATATTTTCTATTTGAAAGCATACAACAACTTAACCGGATTACGTCACAAACCGCAATGACACTGGGGGAAAGTAAAATCAACCGTCGTTTTATATCATGATAACCGTGGGCCTTGTCCCTTACCTCAGCCACCTACAGTGAATAATAGGCTACGTTGGTTGAGGCCACAGATATGCAAGGGAACCTGATCCAATGGCCCACGACTCTCCATGTGCTCTGACGTTTCGTCATACCCATGTTGAAAAATTATAGACCTGCCGTCGGCGGAATGTTTTAATCCACTGAACTCATTGACACAGCCAACATCACTTTTGCCGAACTTCTGTGCCATTGTCTAAGCTTGTTCTGTTAGTAGTATGAGATTTTAATATAGATAATATTTCGGCTGTGATGTCATATGGAAGCAGAGTGGAAGAATGTTTTCTTTTGTGTAGATTTACAGAAGCACACTAAAAGAGTGTGGTTTGGTGTCTTTGAGGCAATGTGCTTCGCAAAGCCTCGAGGCTTTCCCTTGACTGTGATGCGCCGTGCTGAGGTCACCGACTCCTCAAATATACGGCATGCCGCGCACCTCACATTTTCCACTGACCACTTATATCTGCAAGCCTCGAAACACTAATTCCCCCTATAATTTCTCAACTTTCTGGATTAATTAGGACCGCTATCTACTCGGCGAACGGCTGCTCCACTTTGGCTTTGCGAGACAGTGCCAACACATTTATGGTTCATGTGGTCCCAAAATATTTTCGAATGCATTGCAGGATAAAACACGTAAGAAAATAACTTACCGACAAATTCCTCACTACCTCCTCAGAAGCACAATTGTGAACAATGACAATTGTTTAAAATATGGACTTCTGCAGCCAGTAGATATTGAGGAGGCTTAAGTAAATATCAGTCAAACTGCCAACACAAGGGGAGATTTTGAAGTACTTATTAAATACCCCAGAATAGTTTAAGTTGACATAAGTGAAAAGTTTTTTCAAACTATGGTTTCGGAGAAGTTTGGGTAGCGCGTCCAATGATCAGCTTCCAAACGAAGTTTCCTCCGATTAATTTCAAAACGCGCGCTAGTTCATCCTCTCTGTGAGCATAAACCAAATATCCATCATTTTCACAATTTAGAAAATTTAAAAATTTTCACTTCCGGATGTCCTTGTACTAGTGAGAATAAAAACTCCGTTAGGAATCCACTATCTTCTGGAACCGACTTTGCGCGTTGTTTAAATCACCGGGACGTACGCCATTCGTGTTGCGCGGGAACGCCAGGGAGGATGAGCGGGGGTTGTGGTTTGAGTCGTTATGCAGGCTTGGCTTCCGCAGTCTCCGGAATACCGCCACCTCCATTACCAGCAGATTTCCGCAGTCGCCGGAAATTTTGTGACTCAGCAATCCATGCGGCACCCAAACCGGAATCTATCCCTCTTCCGCCTTCCGAATGGATGTCTTCCTATCCGTTACCTCTAGTTGGTATTCCAAAGGAAATGGGAACAGCAGTCCAAAAGCTGAAGGCCGTTCTGCACTGTAAGGCAGCGTAATTTTGAGTGACTTTCGTACAGTTGTACATATGACCTTGCCTTTGTCTCCCAATTTCATGCTTCAGTATTTAATAAACCTTCGTTCACGTTAACGTTTGCTCTGAAGCATCTTAGGGGTTTTCACCTTAGGGTTTCACGCTTAGTGCTCTTTCGCGTCTGTCCGACCCGCCGTAAATGTTCAGGTGCCCTCAGACATTCTATGTCACTGTGTCGTGGATTTTGTTCGGACAAATATGGCGATATGTCCGTACATTCTCAGGGATATCACGTCAAAGTACAATTACCCGTTTTTGCACGGACAGTACTCATGTGCCGTAAAGAGATTGCGTTTGTTCGTATGTTCATAAGCACGTGTGAATCAAGCAGTAGTCTCACAAATCATTGGTTGAACGTGACGTTCTATTTCGGCATATCGGTTCGACCTGTTCAAAAAAGTAGGTTCACAGAAAGAAGTCCAAAATAATGCTACCATTCAAATGGGTTCGCTTGATTGAATAACCTCAGTTCCTTCGATGTCTGGCTGCTTTTCTGATTGAAACATTTCTCCCGGCTGGCGACGCCCCAGTCAATTGACTCAAATTAAATTGTGTGAGTAGGCCCGAAGCCTGTATGTTTTATTCTCTCAGATGGCGGTTTTCTTACGTCCGTCGATTTTTTACTAGTTTAAGAATCACAGGTCATTAGTCAGTTTCCTCCGTCTCAAAGAGGCAACGGCGATACGACGGTTTGCACGCCTACATAACCCACTGAGAAGTGTACGTGTGAGTTTGGGCAACGGGTAGTGATCTGAATAATAGATTGCCGGTCCTTCAGGTTGGGGGTTGGAACCTGTGTCGCAACTGCCTCCTTAGAATATCGGCTGCCCTGATCATACACCAACCGCCGCTACCTTGCGAATAGGTTACAAGACAGATTTCGCTGGGGACCTTATTTAGTGTCCTGTTTTGGCTTGTGTGTACTGGGAATACCCCAGCCCACGTACATCCATTTACAAAACCTCATGCCATATTTTCCTCCGTGACGTCTCATCAGACACACCTGCATACATCAGGGTGGGTAAGGGAAAGACTGCTTCTGACACCCCTTTCACATTTTCGCTTTTACTTCCTCACCCAATTGCCAGCGTCATCTTAGGTCCACTCTTATATTCTGACATTTGTTCCTCGCCTTTGCCGTTGTGATGTCTGCGGCCAAACTGATCGCCTCGACCGCAGACACTCCGAAATCACCCGTCAAACTTCTCTGACAGCCGTTAACGTTCACTCTGTGAAGCAAGATAGACAACAGACTAGTCTAGAATGTACGCCGAACTCGCCGTGTCGAATCGAATCGGATCGTTCAGCTGTAGCACCCTTTCGGTGCCTAGCTGCCATGCCACCCGAAGGTTGCACGGGGGCTGGGATACTGCTAGGTTCCCCAAGCCTAGACAGGGAAATCCGAGAGACGAGGGTCGGGTTCGAACCAGGGACCTTCTGGCCAGTAAATTCGCTCTCTAACCACTAAGCCAGCTCGTCCATGTTTATGCTGCACTACCTGGTGGAAGGACGGGTTAAAGAAGATCGACCTTAAGAAGCGCGGACTCAGATCGCCCAACGCTTGACCGCCAGGGCATTATCCAACGCGGTCGAAATATTCTCAAAACCAAAAAGTCCGGTGCTGCTGTGCGCAGCTGTGATCATCGACAGCATGACGTCAGTGTTCATCGATGCTCTACTGCCGCAACTGAAATGAGACAGCGTCCTCGGGTAGGCCTGTCCCAAGCAGCCAAGTGTGTCCGACTATTGAGTCACTGGCTCCGGGGAGGTTTCCTTAATAAAATCCTAACAACCCTGTCCCGCCGTTCAGACTTTTAATTCAGGCTAGGGGCAGGGTATCCGACCAAAACCCTACGTCTACCCACTTTGTGGGTCACAATTTGGAGTCCAAGGCTCAGAGTGGAGCATTTAATCTTGATCTCTTTCAGCTTGGGAAGTATCAGTTGGCTCTGCAGCTCACGGGTCCTCTCATACTCCGCTTCTCCACCCGTCAAACGATAGTACCACCAGTCCATCTGCCAATATACCCATTTCCGTGTCTAGGCTGTCACCCAGAGAAATAAGCCAAAGTAATCACCTGGTAACCTCAAAAGGTCGCAACCACATAGTAGCCCTTAATATCCGTACTCTATTTCAAGTTGTTCAACAGGCATCCCTTGCTTCCTGTGTTGACTTATTTTGTGTTCTCGGATCACATACAATACCCCATTTCGGCCGTTTAGGACGAGCTCACGTTTCACATTTCACTCTCCGGGTATCCGGTGATTCTGACTCGATAGGTCCTGGTATCCACGGTGTGGGAGTTGCACTCCAAGGCTAAAAGCACTTTACTGGAATGGATACCAGTAAACAATCGTCTTTGCGCTACGCGGTTGTTGGTTCAGTTAAGATCAATGCAGGTCGATGCGGTAAACAGCGTCTGTCATATCACTATACACTCCTACAGATTGCAGTTCTGAGACGTAGAAGAACGGTTCAATCAAGACCCAACACAACTGTTCAGGTCGGCAAGAAGGAACGGTATAGTAATCTTGGTGGGTTATATGAACGCGCAAGCTGGACAAATAAGTCCGGAAGAAGCACAGTTAGGTGGTAGTTTTGGTGCCGATGTTCAGCGTACGGATAATGGACGGCGACTTAAGTTGTGTGCAGATCACCGTCTGTTCATAGCCAGTATGAACTTTCAACAAAAACGCACACATCAAGTCACTTTTAGGCCACCTATCAAAAGACAGTTGTAGACTCGACTGAACTGTATGGTTATCAGTTACCGATGAAGGGCCTCAGTTAGGGACCGTCATTCCTTCTGGGGTACACACCCTGCCATCGTTTGGAACATCCACGACAATCCGCCCTCGGCAACCGAAATACAGCGTGAGATATCAATCGTCAAGCTGGGTAAAGCACCTAGTGCTGATGGAGTGCTCGCGTGAGAGTATATGGCGAGCTCTACACAAAGTGATGTCCGTCGGGGATCTCCACTCTCTCGTGGTAGATAAGAAAATGAGACGAAAGCTGGGTCTTCGAAGCCCCTGTGTTCAAATAGCCTCTGACGAAAACCTTGTCGATCTGGAATATTCTCGTTTTCGAAGAGGAGGAGAAGGCGCAAGTGTTGTTGGATGAACTGACCAAAGTTCTTTCATATGCACTTTGCACCCACAATTTGCAAGGTCATGCTCGCGGACATGCCACTTACGATCCAAGGAAAGGCGGTCAAAGATGTGGAGCTTATATACCTTGGAAATTGTATTTTAAAAAATCGTTCAACTATAGCACTCTCGGTGCCTAGCTGCCATGCCACACGAAGGAGGCACGAGGGCTGGGATACTACTAGGTTGCCCAAGCCTAGACAGGGGAAGTCGAGAGGCAGAGGTCGTGTTCGAACCACGAATCTTCCGGTCAGTAAATTCGCGCTCTAACCACCTGGTCCATCTCGGAAATTATATTAGTTCTGATTGTAGTGTGACAGATGAGGTCAATCACAGATCTGTATGGCTCGGATAAGTTTGCTAATTCGAGAAAGCTATGGCGTCAAACGTAAGTGTGTATCTGGCCACGGTGCAGGCCATTTTCCTGTATGGCTGTGAGACTTGACTTGTTCGAGCAGGGAACTGAGATACCTTCAGGTGTTCGACGGTCGTTGTCTGAGGACTATAGCTTGTGTGGGTTGGTGTCGAAAAATGCGTAACGAGGCAATCAGAAATCGAGTTTTCGGTTGCACAACGGGAACCTCTATTGAAGAATGTGTTTAACACTAGAAGCTGCGTTGGCCAGACCATTCGTGGCGTATGCCGAAGAATGTTTTCCGTGACCAATTCAGAGTGGCGGGAACAGAGAGGTGGCCAACCCTGAAGCTGACAGGGGTATGAAACAGATAACGAAACTTCTGGGTTCTGTCGGTGGTGCTTGCCTTCCAGGATGGGGACCGTTTCATGAGACCCTAATGATTTCTGCTTGCGGTATTGGAGCTCCGTTTATTCTTCATTTTGCTCTTGATCATGACTTTGCATATTGAATCGTTTAGCATAAACGGAAGTGATCCGTTCCGTGTCAGGAACACCGCTGCGTCGTTGGTGGCAAAAGAGATGGGTCACGTATGTGCCTTTCCAGTTAGAGTCAGTTGAATTAGAGAGCCTCACTGCAACTGACAGCACCACTTGCGAACCCAGTCTTGTGGTACTTGTGCCGCCACACGCCGACACCCTGAACAGGAGCTCTCCTACCAGTCTCAGGTTTTCCCCAAACTTGGTCATCTCTTCCCTGGCCCTCTACCTGTAGTGGTCTGCCGAAGAAGCTTGTTATCCCAGGGTTAACTACTTATCCACAGCGGTGGCCACCATTGAAAAATAACTAGTACGATGAACGAGTGTGGTGAGCGGATAAAAGCTTATAAATGGATTGGGGGTGGGGGCTGAGCTTCCAAAGTTGAATGTGTGGGACGTGTTTTCATATTTACAGGAGGGTATACTGATTGTTTCAGGCAATTTCTTCACTTTATACAGCTTTGGCAACAAGATTCAAAATTACGCTTCATTACACGCCTCAGTTTGGCCGGTGTATATTGATCTGCGCAAGCAAGTTTCAGGACACTTTCAACTATGAACCGACCTAATGCTGTAACCTTGTCTTGTTGGTCAGGCTTTTGTAATGCTTTAGTCCTGGGGGCTGCATTGGTCAGAATTCAGTTCAGCGATACCATGAGGGCCAGTGGGAATCAACCTGACAAAGAACTGCGAGAAATCTTATTACGAGTGGCTGTATTGTGAAGCCAGTAAGTCATCTCATTCAGGCGACCAGTGTGTCCATATTCACGGGAGCAAAGATGTCTTCACCAGAGAATGGATGGGTTAGAAAAGGTTGACCCTGAAAACCGAATACTCTGATCGGATAGTGGTTGGTCGTGACTGCCGGTGCATTACTCATTACGGTCGGAATATTTCTAAAGCCGGAGTCTGGTGTTGCTCA